GTATTATGTGTTCACTACTGTGGGCTCTAGGTGTATTAAAATGTGCACGGAAACATGGTACAAACTGCATGCTACATCGAGTCAGTGTGGGACAGAGAATTTTATTTATCTACACTGATGATCCCCTGTTAAAAGACGCAACTGTGGCTGTAGCTTCACCCTGGCTGCAAAATTCTGCTTGCTTGGTAAATCATTAGTGATAATTATCCAATAGAATCAGCAGTTTTTGGCTACATTTTGCTGATAATATTTCTTGTTGTGAATGCAGCTGTTTTACTAATAGGCTTATAAATTTTTTTGTGGTACTTTGGGATATTTATAAGGAACTGCTTGCTTTATCACAGCCATTTACAATTATTTAGCAATTCTATCTGTTACTCATGAAACAAGCAATCCTTTTAACTCTCCAAATCACATTTATGATTTTATGAATCAGCCTCTACGTGACCTGTTGTCAGGGGTAGGCCCACTGTGATTCACAGCAGCATAGGGGCAGAGCTAGAGTGACGCAGGAGTTAATGAGTTGTAACCTGCGCTGTTCTCAGCAACAAATAGCCTACGTGCTGCCACTCATCAGGCATTTACTTCTGACGACCGCTCTACAAAAGTCTGACAGCTGGTGTGAGCTGCTGTTCACACTGACTCTACTAACAAGTTAAGCTGACATTTCTCTGGACTTGTGGAGGAGAGCTTTAGCTGTCCAGTGTTGCTGTTAACTCTTTATTGCAATTCTTGGTAGAGCAGAATTTAAATTCCAGGACAGGTAAGCCTACTGTCACTTACATTGTGTATTGTGTTTATTTTTGTGCAAGCACTCATTGTTTGTATCCCCACAGATCACACAATGCATCCGATGAGCAGTGTCATTGTGTGCCTTAGTGTTTTGGCGGCTGTAAAGTGGCCGTCCCTCCCGTGGCTCTGCAGCCTGTCAGCAGTGCTGGGGCTTTGCATGGCCTGGAGGGGTTCCAGGAAGTTCATTCATGTAGCTCGATGCACCATCAAAAGAGATCTAATGTAAGTAGTCTGTGTGCATGTATGTGTGTGTTTCTCTCATTATCATATTTGCCATTTATTCAACTCATGCTGCACACTGGTTAATTTTCCTCTTATTCCTCCTCCACGCCTCCCTGCCCAAAAGGTGTCTGGTTGTTATCCTCCGAGTAAAGTTTTCCATGTACCGAAACTTGAAAAATAAAAGCACCATTCCTGCCCTCTTTGCCCAAATGGTGACTCTACACCCAGACAAACCTGCCTTGATCTATGAGGCCACTGGAGAGGTAAGGACTTATCAAGGACTAGGAATTAATGCAACTTTAAAAGCACCACTACTTTCAATGAGATTGAAGTCAAACAGAATCATAAACCTTTGTGTCTGTGTTACTCTCCTTCTACCTATTCAATGTATTCCAGGTTTGGAGTTTCAGGAAGCTGCAGGAGCGATGCCATGCTGTGGCGCACTGGGCGCTTGCACAAGGCTGGATGGAGGGAGATGTGGTGGCCTTGTGTATGGAAAGCCAACCTGTAGTGGTGGCTTTGTGGTTGGGTCTGGCTATGGTTGGTGTAGAGGCTGCATTCATCAATCACAACCTTCGACAGCACTCGTTACTGCACTGTGTCAGTGTGTCTGGCGCTCGGGCAATGGTGTTTGGGACAGAGATGAGAGAAGGTAGAAACATATTGTACAATAAAGATACAATAGATATGCTGTAGTCTTTTATATAGAAACAGAGTGCAGTTTATAGATAAGGATAAAATTCAAATGTCTTTGTGATGCTGTGCTAATGCAAAACTGTGTATGTTTGTTTTACATTTCATCTCAGCCGTGTTGGAGGTGAGCAGCTCTCTGCAGCCTGACATGGTTTTGTTCAGCAGTGGTGAGCAGGAGGATGAGTCGAAGCTCTGCAGCGTCCGGGTGCAGAGCCTGGACGCCCTACTGGACGGCTTGCCCAGGCATCCTCCAAAGTACACACTCAGGAAGGGTTTTAATGGTAAGGCTCTGCAGAGTGTTTGTGCATGGGGGTAATGTGTTGCCTTATTCTGTCCTTATGCTATATGTTACAAGCTTTCACTGCAACATCTTCTCTTTAACAAGTCTTTGCCTGTCAGAGTGAACTGCTTCCTTCACTCTCTCTGGCCTTTTCATAACATGTAATAGTACTTGCAAATACACTTCAGTGTCAAATAAATCATCATCACATGTCAAAGAAATATTTAATGTCATAAAATGTGCATTGTGCATTGTGAAAGGTGTTTGTGCTTTTATCTGATATAACACAGTTACATTCAGCTATGCACTTCACTTTTGAGTTAATAGTTAACATATCTGTGAATTACCTTCTCTCTTATTTATTTGGTTGTGTGTATTTTTTTTCCACCTTTGGTTGTCACATGACATTCCTAAGTGAATACTGTTCAAGTCTTTGCTTGTTCAGCCCGTCAGACACTGGGAGATAGAAGAAGAGACAGAAAACAAAGCATGAATGTGAACAAGTGTTAAACATTCTCTATAAAATCTCCTAACACCTGAATGTCATCGCTGTCCATGCAGACAGACTTTTCTACATCTACACTTCTGGTACAACGGGAATGCCAAAGGCGGCTATAGTGGTGCACAGCCGGTGAGTTTGTCTGTGATCAGATCTGACTGGATTCTGCACTGCTACGTTTGTGAAGGGAAATTCTGCAAAAAACCTGAAAGCAAATATTGAAATGAATGGTTATGAATAACAATTTGCCCAGACATGTCTGGCTAGTTTTTTAACATTGTATCTTATTTGTCAAATGATTGCTAGGAGCGTCCAAAATGTGTCTGGTGGTAATACTTAGACACTGAGTCAAGGACTTTTAGCAAGGAAATTTAGCAACCCCTGAGGGATTATTACTAAGATACGTAATTAAGACATCAGATTTGCCAAATGGCACTTTTGTGTTTCATTTGCAATTATGACTAAATCAGCCTCTATTAATGCGCTAAGGAATGCTGATGATCCACACTACGTGATTTATTTCATCTTTCTTGTCAGGTATTATCGCATCGCTGCTTTTGGTTTCCATTCCTTTAGCTTGAGACAGGATGACATCATTTACAACTGCCTCCCCCTCTATCACTCTGCAGGTAGGGCCGGCTCAATTTTTTTGTCTTCAAATATTGTTGTACTATATATTCATCCAAATCCTTGTCTTCTTTTAAAAAAAATTATATAACATGACGACTGTACAGCATTTCATTATATTCCACCACTATCCCTATATAATATGCTCACTTATGTGATGAGGAATCTGCAGAATACAAGACTGAATTAAAACCAAGTCACACAACTGATATAGCAGGGCTTCTACTGTACTTCCTGATAAATAACCAATCAGCACTCATATCTCACTCAGGAGACCTCTTTCAACAGTTCTCAATGATTACTTCAATAAAACATACACTCATATCATATCATATCATATCATATCATATCATATCATATCATAATGTGATGTCTTCTGTTCCCATTGGCTAAGATAAATTGTAATGTCTGTGTCAGGTGTATACCTCTGACTAATCAGCTAAAACTAGTCAGACGTGTTAAGCTTTAAAAAAACTGAATTAGTTGACTAACATCATTGTACTGTATCTTTTGTCACATGTAAATTGTGTGCATGCATGTGAAAATATGACTGTTTACAGGCACCATCATGGGTGTAGGCCAGTGTTTGCTTTTTGGTTTGACTGTTGTGATCAGGAGGAAGTTCTCAGGCACTCACTTCTGGGATGACTGTGTTAAGTACAACTGCACTGTGAGTAGTTACTCCCATGATAAATGTGTCCAATGTTGGGACACTTATCATGCTGATGCCCCAGTTGTGAATGATCTCAGTTTTCTAAACAACAGAAGTTCTTCCATTTAGTTGTCTAATTGGGTTTCTTTGTGTGCCTGTGTCCAGACAGTCCAATACATAGGTGAGATCTGTCGTTACCTGTTGGCGCAGCCAGTCCGCCCATCTGAGGCACATCATCGCATCCGTGTTGCCATTGGTAATGGCCTCCGTCGCTCTGTGTGGAAAGAGTTTGTCCAGAGATTCAAAATCAGACAAGTTGGGGAATTTTATGGTGCCACGGAGTGCAACTGCAGCCTGATCAACATAGATGGAAAAGTGTGTTGCATTTAGATGACTTTAAAGTAGAAGATTTTCCTAATTGGACTCTATCTTATGTACATGTTTTGTTCTTATCAATCCAGGTGGGAGCGTGTGGCTTCAGCAGCTGCCTCTTACCCAGCTTTTACCCCATCAGACTGGTCAGGGTGCATGAGGAGAACCTGGAACTGCTCAGGGATTCACAGGGACTCTGTATACCATGTCTGCCTGGTGAGGACACACACCCACAAACACATACACACCCACAAGTGTGTTTTCATACCCTTGTGGTTACTTTACATTGACTTACATTCCTGTAGACTTATTCTAACCTTAACTATAACCACTGCTTGCCTAACACTTAAACTTGCCCTCACCTTAAACCACGCTGTCACTCAAAAATTCAGTAATTTACATGGTAGGGACCAGCATCTGGCCCCCACGAGGAAGACTGAGTCCCCCAAATGTGAGTGTGTAAACAGGTTTCGGTTCCACAGTGCACAAAGCTACAACTGGACAGTCATGTTTCAATTGCATCACAAATGTTGTCATTTATCCCCCTCCCTTCTCTCTATGCAGGCGAGCCAGGTATGTTAGTTGGGCGCGTCGACCACACTGATCCACTCAGGAGATTTGATGGCTACATTGATCAGGACTCCACCAATCGGAAAATAACTCGCAATGTCTTCCGGATGGGAGATTGTGCTTATATGTCAGGCAAGTTTTACTTTTTCTCTTTAAATTGCAGTCAGAATAATGATAATAGACTATGTGGGTTGACTTTCCAGGTTAATATGTGTTCATCCATGGTTCAACTCACAGTCCAGACATATAGTGTAAGACATCTGGATGAGAGACTTTATATTGCCCTCAGGTAAATGAGAGTGATTCACTGTCTGTGATTACAAACTGGGAACCTTTCCATGGTGTTTCCTGCCTTCTATACAGTTCATGATGGGATAATTAATGATGATGAACAGAGAGGAAAACACTGTTTGTCCTGTGAAAAGGGCTTAGCTACTCCAGAGACACTAAAGAGGACAGCAATCAATACAAATACGCACAGACACACTGAGAACATTACACCGGACACAGGAGGCATTACATTTTATTTCACTGATGTCATCAGGAGAAAACTTTAAGTTCATTATTGCAACATTCTCATACTGACTTCTTACGCTGTTTAAATATAAGAGTCACCACCATTTCTTAACTGCACTGATGACTCATCCACAGTTCACATGTTCCCCTCTTTGTTGTCATCTGCTCCATAATCCCCTCCAGGGATGGGGATTGTTTTTGTCTGTGTGTTTCCCTCTCTATCCGACTTTCTATCTTTGTCTCTCAGGTGACATTCTGGTGATGGATGAATATGGCTACATATATTTCAGTGACCGCAGCGGTGACACGTTTCGTTGGAGAGGGGAGAACGTCTCCACCACAGAGGTAGAGGGAGTCCTCAGTGCCTTGCTGGGCCACATTGATGTAGCCGTTTATGGAGTTTCTGTACCAGGTAAAGATGAGATGAGACAAAGTCACGATGGGAAAAAACATGAGTTTATTGTGAGTGTTACATGACATTGTCCCGTGTTTATAAACTCACCTGTTTGTCTGTGTGCAGGCGTGGAGGGAAAGGCTGGTATGGCAGCAATAAGTCATGCTGGAGACCAGTTTGACCTTGTTGCCTTCTTGATCGCAATACAAAAAGCACTGCCCTCTTATGCATGCCCTGTCTTCCTTCGACTCATGCCATCTGTTGACACTACAGGTGGGACAACACACACACACACTCTGTATTTTTATTCTTTGTGGGGACTTTACATTGACTTACATTCATTTCCTGTAGACTTATCCTAACCTTAACCATACCCACTGCTTGCCTAACCACAACCCTGACCCGAATTGTAAACTAACCCTAACTTCACCCTAACCTTAAACCACGCTGTCACCCTAAAATTCAGTGATTTCTAGTTCCCACAATGTGAATGTGTTTCAATCCCCATAATGTAAGCAATACAAAGGCACACTCGCACACATGTGAACTTTTTCTTTAATTTGTGCCTCCAGGCACCTTTAAATTTCAGAAAATGCGGCTGCAGAGGGAAGGATTCAAGACACAAGCATCGAGTGAAAAGATTTACTTTCTGAACAGTCGTGCCAGATGTTACGAGACTGTTACTGATGAACTGTATAACGCCATCATGGAGAGCAAAGTATGTTTATGAGACAGGGGGACCCAGAACAAAAGATGTAGGCTGCTGACTGTTATCCACATGGGAAAGAAAGAAAGTAAATATAAGAATGTACTTACAAAGATTTTGTAACAATTACTATGCATCCCTATACACACTGATAAATATGAGAATATGATTGTGTTGCTGTTTTTTGCAATTAAATACACTTTGAAAATAAACGTTTTAAACAATGACAATATCAGTGATGGTATCTTAATAATAGTTGGTGGTACAGTGGATGTATCAGTCCCTTTTAAATGTAGATGAGAACAATATATGTATTCATATTGTTATCACACACATTATATACAAAATCAAACACAAGTCTTAAATGTTTTTTTAGACTATGAATAACACATGTAAACAGGTAAGTGAAAATGAAGCCAATGCTACTTTTAAATATTGTATGACACTTCTTTAAACAACAACTCCATCTCCACCTGCATCAAGTTCCTTTTCAGTAAGTTGCAACTTTTCTTCCAGGTATTTTATCACTGGATTCGTTCTGTCAGTTCGTTCTTCTGCCTTTCTTTGCTCCCCTCTCTGGTTCCCCCCTGAGTGCAGGTAGCCCGGCTGCTTCTGGAAGAATGAAAAAAGTAATGAAAGTGTGAGGACATGGGAAGAAAAGAGACCTAAAGCAACAAAAAAAATATAGCTGAGTTTTGTAGCTACAGTTCTACCTGGTTGCGTCTGGATGTACTCTATGTTCTCAGCTTGGAGTGACTGAAACTTTTTCTTCAGTCCATTTAGTGATGGTCTGAGCTTCTCCTGGTGGTCAGTTCTTTGAAACGATGCTCCTGTCGTATCTGCTGGCCCCATCGTATAGTGACCTCTGATGTTCATCCAGTGTCTGCAAGCTGTGGTCAGTCACCCTGCACTTGCTTAATATGCAACTAAATTTAGTGATAAACAGTAACAAGTTACATTTACTCCAGTTCTGTATTTTAGTATTTCTAAGTATTTGAAGTTTATTAGAGTAAATTACACCTACTTAGCATCTACAACATTGCACATAAAGGTTTTATACACAAAACCTTTGATGAGTTTATTAAAGAAAATACATTATTACAGCTTAAACTACCAAACAGTATTTTGGAGAAAATCTGCTCCATCATTATAAGCTACAACATTAAACTGCTGCTTAATACCTCAACATTTAGTAAAATAATATATGATTCAAAAAGCACTGACTCTTATTTTTTTAACTTACACAAACATATAACTACTACTTAATATATTTGCTTAAGTATAAAGTTTAATTTTGAACTTTCACTTGTGGCATGTTGACATTATGGGAAAGTTACTTCTTGTTCACCACTGAATAAATCAGCATGCAGCATATTCATGTGCCAGTCCTGTATACTGCCAACATCCATCAGAACGTAACACACCCCACCAGCTGTTCAGATTATGCTGGGCATTTTGTGTGTGTGTGTGTGTGTGTGTGTGTGTGTGTGTGTGTGTGTGTATTACATCTTGTGAGATCTAAACATATAAACTGGTGACCAATTAAAGCAAAACCTGAATAAATGAGAGGTCTCTTACTGGTTTGATGAATATGAAAAGAATGTGACCCATATACTGCGGCATTCACAGTCACCAGATCTCCTATGAATTGACATGTTAGACAGCCTCTCCACCACCGTCATCAAAACACCAAATGAGGGATTACCTTTTGGAAAAATGGTGTTCAGCCCTCCATTAGAGTGCAGACACTTGGAGAATCAGTGCCAAGGTACACTGAAGCTGTTCTGGTGGCACGTGGTGGCCCAACACCTTGCTGAGACACTTCACAGTATGTTGGTGTTTCCTTTAATTTGTCACCCCTCTGTGTGATACAATGATAGAAACTGTAATTATCAGCTTAGTTTTCAGCTCAGAGCCTCTTTAAGACTCACTCTAAATTCAGCCTGAGCAAACTAATCTAGGATGAACACAAGGAGGCATCTGGCGGTAGGGAAATGAATACTTACAGGCAATGAGAAAAATGCCTGATTGCATCCTGGTTTAAATATCTTCTGCTGTGGTCGCAAGAAGCATGTAAATGAAAAAGTGCAACACAGACATGGGAGGGCCTCCTTAGTCTTCATAAAATACAGCAATCCGGTCTTGGAAGAGCCGGTGCTGTTGGGCGCTCTGCTGTTATTTGACATCTTTGCCTTATTGTTTGGTTTGGTCTTGTGACAGCAGGGTGACTCTAACTGGAAAACCAGTATTCAAGCACTGTTGGTGGCAATCATCTGCCCTTCTGAAGTGCTGTTGAGAAAAACTGTGAATTCCTGGCAGTTGCTCTGTATCTGCTCTTTCAGATGCTTTATTTCTTTCAGTGTCTGGTCTTTTGTTTCAGTGGCTCCTTTAAATCAGCTGCAAAATAAATCTGACAAACGTATTTGTCTACACCAAAAAACCCTTTGATAATACATTGTCCTGACTGCTCTTGAACATTTTTTGGTGTGTAAAGCACTGGATAACTTATTTCTTTGAGGCCTCTAAAGATACTCAGAAACAGAGAAGGGAAAATTGCTCCTGTTGAGCTGCTTTACTTATAACAAAGGTGACAATTTAAGAACTGGAAGAGATTTGAAAATGAATAATAGTTATATTATATCAGTATTATTTACTCTATACATCTTTGTACCTTCAAATCCAATTTGACTATCATGAATGAAATGGATTTTTACTTATTTTAGGTCTTAAAATACGATGCATTTCTCTTACCTCCAGCTTTATAACAACACTTCTCTCAGTGGATAAAATGACTGCATTCCAAACAGTAGAACTTGTGTGTCCTATGCAAATGAAAATGTTTCAGAGGCTTAGTGTTAGTGAAACTTGATTCCTACCAACCAGTTAAGTGGTAAACCCTGTGTCCTGCATGGCTCACAGCTGCTCAGTGTGCACGTGAAGGCTCTGGGCCATCCAAACAGATCACAGATAGGCCCTCTGCATGTTCCTCACACTGCTCTGAGTCAGCTGACCAGGGAGGTGAAGTCTTCTGGCTCTGCTCCAGGAAGGGATTCAAGGAGAGGGGCCTGGTAGTTCATGGATCACGTGGACGGAGGCTGAAGCCTGTTTGGTTTGTGTCACAGTGCAGCAGTGAGATGGATGAAAAGTGGGAACAGTAAAAGGGGAGGAGCAGTGTTTTGATATTGGTGCATGTGCAGTTGCCATACATCATTGTAGAAGTGTATGGTATCTGTGTACAGTGTCAGAGGCACTGAGGTTACATAGACTAGATCTGCTTGCAGCCTCCACCTCAGACAAGATGTAGTCATACATCACCCTGTGGTGTCATTTTCATGACCCTATGATTTATGGTCTATACTAACGTCCCGAGGCCAATTTCATTCCTGTGCCTTTGCTTGTCAGTTTTACTACCTCACACATTTCCCTTTATATAAGTGTGACAGTTCATTCTTTGAATGTCACATTTTGCAGGCAAACAAAAGGTATAACTGACAATAGTTTGTGATTTAACTTTGTGAAGTGAGAACTTTTTGTTATTTCCACAGTCTCATGCTTATTATTTCAAACTGACGCATGTAGTATCCAGCTTTAAAATAATTATCGACTATTATTCTCTGCCAGGTTTAAGAACTTCCTGTACAGTAATGTATTCCAGGTCTGAGATATGTTAAATGGATTCACTTTCACTGCCCCCTTAACAATTTGAGCTACTCAGATCCCACACACATGTATAACAGATCAGCTTCGACAGGTGAGTCATATTTCAGTCTATCACATTTTATAATGCAAAACAGATGATTGTTGTGGTCACATATAAGATCCCCTCCTAACATAATTCCAATTTAAAAGATGGTGGACAATATCCACAGATGTTTTCTGTGTAAAAACACTTTGTAACTTTAGTTTAAGTCAGCTGAGGCATCAGCAGTCAAGTGGGCCTCTTCTGAAGCGTGGTTATTTTAGTATCATGTTTTGTTTCACAGGACAGTGTATATTTTAAGTTTTAAGAAAATTTTAATAATGTGTATCTATCCTAAAACACATGTCTGAACTGGCATCTGATTTTGCCAAACACCTGAGCAGTGGCCTCTCACACATCGGCTGAAGCAGGATGGAACACATCATGCTACAGTAGGTGTCCCTGTTTGAGTGTATTTTTGGTAATGTTTTTGTAGAGCTCCCTGTTCCATGTTCCTCGCTGACTGCTCTCACTTCTCTCCTTCTGCCATCCTCTTTTTCAGCTCCAATAAACCTGACAACTGAGTGTTACCCCTCTCTCCAGACCTAATCGGTTTGAGGGACTGTGAAAATTACGTTTGGTGAAGTTAAAGGCTTCGCTGTACTGCTCCTAAAAGTGGGTGATTTGCTGTAGTGCACAACTGTCCTCTCTTGACTGTGTAGCTCTGTCATCAGTCTGCTCGATTACAGCAGCTGATTGGGGGCTGTGCAGCTTAACATTAGTGTCATCATGCTCAGAAAATGGATTTTGTGGCTTGACTCCAAAGTGATGAGAGCGTGATGTACTGGAGAGAGGGCAAAGCACTTCAGTTCCCCTGTGTCCTCAGTTACACTCACTTCTGTCACTTCGGTGACAGTTCACACATCCCATTTTGTCTTTCAGCTGCAGATGTGTGAAATATAATGATGGCAGTGTGACCTCAGGGGATGCAAAACTTAACAAACATCTTCACATGCTCATTTAGTGAGCTTGGCTTAGAGAAGATGAGGTGGTACAGCTCAGAAATGGGTTTGAATGATGACTTGATGAAATTAAAGTGTGAAAGAAATGAGGAGGAGATGGATTTAGAAAGCTGGAAGGAGAAAGTGCCTGGGTTTTTATGATTGCAAGAGGATAACACTTCATTTTCAAATCCAGCCTCAAAATTCACTTATGTTTTTGTCAATTATCTGGGTGTTTCACTCTCTGATATTTATCTCCATTTCCTTTAACTGATGCAGATAATGATTATGTGAATAAAATTGCCTGTACTTTATAATTTTGCAGCACTGGTATACACTCAGTTGACAGTTTGTTAGATACAGTACACCCAGCTGAAACTCATCCAATCTAGTACAACAGTCCTCCCCTTGTGAAAGTGATAATGTTCAGGTTTTGTTTTAACTGTTTTAGAGAGGTGTTGATTCAGCTGTGTGATCATTTGGGAGCCTTGATTTGTGTTAGATTATATTGACAGGTGTTTCTATATTTATTTACTTTTTTCCTTATCTTTATATCGGTGAGGCCAGGTTCAATATCATACACACCTCTGGGTATAATGCAGCACATTTGTTGTTTTGTCTCGAGTATTTTGAATGTCATATCAGTTAAACTGAGTCCAATACAGTGAAATAGCATGTGAAGAAGAGGTGCATGAAGAATGAGTTACAACAGATGGCAGGAGCAGAGGAAAGACATAAAACAAGAGGAAAGGAATTCATGAAAGGAACACAGAAGAGAATAGAGGGGTGCTCACCTTGTCAGACTTCAGGGAGCCAGTGGTGTAACAAAAGTAAGTGGAGTAAAATATTTTTGAGCATCAGTTGTACAGTATGAAGCAGAACGCTTCGTTTATTGGACCAACTGGCCACTCACATGTAACATGTTGCTGGTTTTGGAGTAGCCACTCAGTCACCTTATGTGACACATTATAGCCCAGTACAGCTCTAACCTTGTTTTCTCTTTCCTTCGTCATTTTTCAAGACTGCGTACAGAGACACATACCGATTTAAAATGCTTGCCGCTGCCACAGCGGTAACATGAAGACAGGTGACAATTTCCAGGGAAAAGCAACACATTTTATCATGATTTGGTGTTTTCAGGCTGGTCTTGGAGACGATTTGCAACACGTCTCTAAAATCATCAAAAGGGGTTTGATTTGGTGGAGATGTAGTGATTGATTTCTGTAGCATATGCTTCACATCATTTTCATTCTCATCAATCATCAGCATCTGTTATGTTGGAGGGAGCTATGCCTCGGTAAGTAAATGGGATCTGGACACATGGCCGTCTACAGTTTGCCAACAGTTTTACAGTTGAGCCAAGGTGCCAAAAAGGTAAAAAACAAAAATCTTCTTTTACTGTTGCCTGATTAAGTGTGCTTTGTTTGTACATGTACATGTGTGACTTATACTCCAGCTATCCGAAGGTGGGTGAGGGTGTAAGGCACAGCCGGTTCTTTCTGGCTGTCAGATCTGCCCCTCCATGCAAGAACATTATGAGCCAGTGGCTGACTTGTGCTGACACATCGCAGGCATGGTATTAAACTACAAATTCTGTGCATGTCTGTGCTTTTGTGTGGCTGCATGCTTCATCTCAATCAGGGGGTAAACTGATATGTTGGGATTGCCTGTCTACTGTACATGCAGCACCTTGACAGTGCCCCAGTGTGTCTGGCCACTTCATCAAACCATGAACAGACACGATGGGCCAACAATGGGCCAACAATGTACAAACTGCACCACAAAATCAGAACTGTCTGATCACTTTTACAATCAAAATTTGCACAGGCTTCAGTGCCTCTTTTAAAGTTATTCTTTTCCTGCCCATTTTCTTGACATACATTGCCGGTTAGCGCTCTGCTGTGAGGATTAACCAGGATCCTTGTAGATGCTGTGTCTTCTTTGAAGAAGATCAGAGGACACTGTCAAACAGAGGTATGTACATCCAATGGGCAATGAGGAAAAGGTAATCTACCATCAGCTGTCCAGAGATCTAGTATCTTCATCATCCTCTAAATCTCTTTGCCATCTTTGTTGTTTTCCTTTCTTGTTGAAATCTCTAAGGTTTCTACTTATTCTGTCTCACTTTGCTCTTCGGTGTTCATCCTAATAAAAGAAGGGACGCCCTGTTTCACAGGATCACTGTACATTACAGCCGGAGGAAGCCAGCCTGGATCAGAGTCAGTGAAGTGGGCCATTAATGTAAACACAGTATTTGAATTTAGCCTCAGGCGGGCCATTAATGTAAACACAGTATTTGACTTTAGCCTCAGGCATAGACATACATATGCACAGCTAGAAACCAATGAACAAATGCATCTTACACTTGTTCGTCTTAACCTCTAGTGTGTGTGTAATTATACGTGTCTGCTCAGTTCCTGTCTGAGGTGTACAAGACAGCAAAACACCAGTCTCTTTCTTAATCTGATGTGGAGAAACAGATCTCTGCGGGACCTCAGCAGGCCGGTCTGTTGCAAGACCACATTACTCACAGGTGTTTGTTTGAAATCTCTGTCTCTGAAATCAGAAGATGTAAAAAAAAAAAAGAAGGCAAATTACCTTGATCATCTATGCTGCTCTATTTCTTCTCACCCTAGATGACATGTGTGAGCCAGATTGGATTGATCATACTCTGCAGGAAATGTCAATGCCAGTCTTTGATCAAACCTTTCTTCTTCTTCATGTTTTTATGATAGTAATGTTGATGTTGCTCTTCCACATTTTTGCAATGAAACAGTCTAAACCAGCTGTTCCCAACTTGGATGTCACAAGCCATCTGTGTACCCGAAGAGAAATAAAATGAGAGGGGTCCCAAGATGATTTATGGGATAAGAAAGAAAAGAAATGATAGAAAAAAATCACTTCTAATTTTTGCTTTTTCTGTAAAATACTGGATCGTTTCAGCATTTACACGGCCATGGGGAGTTCACAGTGCCACCTGGAGACCCTTGGTCTCGAGTGCGCTCAGCAAAGCAACTTAACAAACATGTTCATGTAAGTAAACTAAAGCAAAGAGTAGCATTTTCAGTAATGCACCATGCTGTCTTTCACATCTCTGCACTCCTCTTTCTCCCTGCCAAGTAATTTGTATGTATACTGTGATGTTCTGGAGGTTTGTTGGTCTCAAAATACCAGTTGCTTCTCTCATGACTCTTCTCAGCTCACAGCAGCGCAGGGTCAAAGGTAGAGTGGTCAAGGTGTGTAACATGATGAGTTTGGGCAAAACTCTTCTTTCACAGAGTTTGTAAAATGCTGCTGTCACCGACTGAACTAGAAACCAATCCCATACTTCTTTGTACTTGTCCCTATTCTGGTTTCCTACTTACAAATATAACACATAAACCAAAGCTTTATGTGTTATATCTATTTGTGTTATTTTCATATGTATGGTTACTTTCTTGGTTTTAGGATTTGTCTTGTTATGATGCTGTGCTGAACTCGAAACAAGCCCTCTTCATGCACCCTCATATTATATTTCACTCCATCGTGAGAGACAGCCTGACCACTTATATTCAGTCAGATACTGTACAATGTGTGGAGAGTGATTCTTTTTTTCTTTCTGAATTACTGTCCGGGTCAAAACAGCCTAACAGCTGTGTATGTTTTTCTCTCCCTGTCACAACAGCTGCTGCCTCTTCCTGTCAGCTCCAACAATCCCTGCAGCTCCAGTTTTTCTGAACCAGTGTATGAGCTGCTGTCTCCTCTGACTGCCAGCAGAGCTCCTGCCAAACGTCGTAGGACTCCTCCAAGTCTGAAACACTCACGAAGAGCACCAGAACGTTGACACTTTGGCCAACCAGGAAACCTCTGAAAATGACATGTGCCCACTGTTTGATGTTGGAGAACACACTCATTTATCTGACCACTGAAGGAACCACAACACAACAGGGTCATAACCTCCACTCGGGACATCACAGTCATGCCTTTTTTATTTATTTATTTATTTGTCTATTTGCATTTTTCACACCAAACATTCAGTGAAGGAAACTGTCAATTTGTCAGCTATAGCTAGAGGTGTTTTAACCACAAAATGCATATTCATTCAAATCACATAATTTAAGGAAAAAGGTCAAAGAACATCACCTAACTGCACCTCTGCTGTTATTTTATAATTTAGTATATTAGAGGTGAAACAATCAATGGTCAATAAAAAATTAATCCACAAACATGCTGATTCCAAAGAGAGGGCTGGTTGCTTTTCCCTGCTTTGCATCACAGAGACATTTTTAATTTTGGTTCGTGGGCTACTTTGTTCAGGCAAAACTAATAACATTAAGACTCCACTCTGGGGAAACTGGCTATTTTATGACCTTTTATAGACTAAACAACTAATAAAGTAATTGAAAAAGTAGTTGATACTTCAATCAGTAATGAAAATAGTTCATGAAAACATACCAGACCTATTGCGTGATAATTAGAAGGACAGAAAAGAAAAACCATCAATTAACTTTTCTCCAAAATGTTGTATATTTTCACTTCTCCAGGCTTCTAATCTTCTTCACAGAAACAAGAGAAGAAGAACTATCTTGGGCAGACCTCCTCACAACACTTCGGTTAGACAATTTGCCTCTTTGTATGGGCTCCACTGCTGCCAGACCGACCCAACAGAAAGCCCGAGGCCCACAGGACACTGGGACACATGAACACGCCCATATGGCTTTCTAGCTTTCTATGGACTACAGCTGGAGCTGCTTTTAAAGGGGAAGACATAGTATTTATTACAGGGGGAAGCACAGCAGTCCACTGGGTCTACAACGATAAAAAAGGTTTTGTGTAAAATAGAAGTCATGCTTTTAGCCACACCTAACAGAACTCCTCGATATTATTTTCACCAGGTAAACAAGACCCAGAAACGCGGGCCTGGAGCCGTGTTTTAAGAACATCGAGTTCCCTTTCCAGGCCAGACCCGCCCTTTAATTCCGCCAGCCCCGCCATGTATTCACTGTCGGCATAACACAACAGCGGGACCGAGCCGGACTCTCGGCTTCCACATCCTCTCCTCCCCACATCCTCTCTTCCTCTCCATCCTTCTCTCTCCGCCGTGTCGCCAGCGAGAGTCTCTCCCCTGCCATGCTCCGGGTCACCTCGCTGTTGCCTGCCCTGCTGTTCGTTCTCCTGCCGGGCCTGAGCCGGGGATATTTCCGCGAGGAGCGCTGGAGCCCCGAGTCTCCGCTCCTCGCTCCCCGGGTCGTCATTGCGCTAGCCTGCCGCAACTCGGAGCACTCTCTGCCGCTATTCCTCGGCACCATCGAGCGTCTCAATTATCCCAAGGACCGCATCGCGCTGTGGTGAGTGTCATCGTTATTAACCCTCAGAATAAGCACGAAAACACGTTACTATGAGGGGGATGTCAGACTATATCAGAACTTTTATAAGTATTACCGCATATTAATTAAACTGTGATTTAACGTCAGTGTGAGGTCATTGGAGACACGTCAAACCCACATAGAAATAATGGAGAGTACTTAAGAGTGAGAATCACGCTGTGTTATAATGAGACGTAGGGAAACGCGTGAGTGGAGCGTGACTCTCCACGCACCGCGGCGCTTCACACTTTGGTCCCCGGCAGCGGAGCACGGAGGGCGGGTTGCGGCAGCAGAGTGGTGCCCACGGAAAGTTCCACTGAGGCAAAGACCTTCTCACTCATCGCCACTCCGTGTTCCCTCTCCACCCCACCCACGTCCCTCCCCTCCCGTCTTCTCTTTCCACGTCTTCATTCTTGCAGAGAACAAAACCAGTATTGTTGTAAAATGTTTTTAAATGTTAATTGGCACTTGAACTGTCTAAATTTGGTATAATATCCTGTCCTAAACGCTCCTGCTGGGCCCAGCTTCCTTTACCCCGGGCTGATTTTCTGCCACCCAGCCCCCAGCCTTCCAGATCATTCTTGTTTCCCCTTCTCACTTCCTCTTCTTATTTTGAGCTCATCCTAGCGGGTTTGTTTTCACAGACAAAGTTAATCTTCTCATCAGCATTCAGAACTGACAGGTTAGATTATATTTCTTTGCAACCCAGTGACCCAATTAAGGCAAATGGTATTAGCCTCAAGCAGAGTTGGGTTTTTTTTTTTTTAAATGTGACTGTGAGTTTGGGATGAAATTAATCTTATTCATAGAATAGGCTGTGCCTGACCTAAAACTGAACCTTTTCAGGTGGGAGCTAGAGATTCAAGTGTCTGTGTCTCTTTAAATAAGCCAGACTTTTTCATTTTATCAGAGCCAGAAGTTCAGCCTGTGTCTAACTATATCCATGCAGCAGCCTGAGCTCAGTTTTCTGTGTGGTGGTTTTGATCTACAACATGTCTCTTTCTCAGCTGAAGAACTGAATTAAAAGAAGTTTAGAAATGCAGCTATGGAAAACATGAACTGAGCTGCTAGTAAGCATCCTGTCAATACCTGCACTTAGTGTGTCAGATTAAGATGAGCTACTTGGCAAGGAGCAGTGTTGACACACAACCATGCAGATTGGCTAGTGGTACATGTGTGCTCTGCAGGGACATACTGGATGGGTCTGCTGGAATCTCAAATATTTACTCTGCAGAAATCCTTTTTTTTATTCACAACCTCTGTTTGTTCAAAACACAGAGCCAAAAACAAATAGAGAGCAAAAGTTAGACAGATGCAAAGGGAGAGGAAGAAGAAGATGTTGACTCTGTTGCATGTCGGTGCAGGGATGGCACTGCTGTGTTAAAACGCCACAGACGGTGGGGAAAATAACACCTGCGTCGCGCCAACTGTCACTCACTACAACATGACAAGGATGGAAGTAAATCCATATTTGCACAGTCCTTTCCACTCTTGCTCTGTCAGTGTTACCTCCCCCTCCATGACACACGCTGGGATTTGTTGTGATAACGCAGACGAATGCGACGCCTACCCTCCTCGGCCTCTGCTGTTTGTTTCTGGTCTTCTCTGTCCACGACAGATGTTAACCCACTATATACTGATATTAGCATACTTGTTTTGGGCTGCAAAGAACCGTTGTTTTCCTGAATGAATGATTCGCCAGATGTTTCTGAATAACGGTGTAGTTTATAAAGTATCAGAAACAAGTGAAACCTATCCGGTACAATCTTCCACAGCCCGAGGTGGCACCTACAAGTTGCTTGTTTTGTCCAAATCTACATGTAGCCAAGACAACAGAGAAAAGCAGCAAATAGAGTCAATTTGCTCAGTTATCAGTGTTTATGCATTCATTTGGATTTACTGTTTTAAGGACATCCATAAACAGTGTTTAAAAATGTGCAAATATTTGGCGCTTTTGCTTGACAAGTCATCATTTGATAAAACCTCTTATTCCTTATTTTCTGTTCAGCATTACTTTTATTTGTCACATTATTTAAATTTGTCAGTACTGGCCAGACTAAACTATTTATTATTTCATGTATAAGCTGATTCTCAAAATATATTTCCAGAAAATGTACAATGTCAGGATACAAATCTTAAGATTAGACTTTGATAATAATTCAGCTCAGTGTATTAGCCAGTACTGAATAGGAACCAGTGGGGGTTTTTTACATTAATTTAAAATCTAAAACCTACACATCACTTGTATCACGTCTTACTATAAGTTGAATTACTGTTTATGTAGAGACATTGGCTCACTGCAGTAAATGAATGAGGCTTCTGCTGTGAGCCTGCTATTTGAGTGACAGGATAATAGCTGCCGATAAATAAGGCAGTGTCATGCGCGGGGGGTTGCTGTGGTGCTCAAAATTCACTCACGGGCCCATTGCCACTGAATTTTACAACAACTGTCTGTGACCAATAAACTGTTTTTATGAGGATCATTAACATCAGGATCGGTACTGCTCCAGCGTATCAGATGAGTTTAATATGTTGTTGCTGTAGTCTAATATTCCACATATTGTCATAAAGGATCTCATCCGTGTGTCCACCCCTGAGCCAAAGTAACACCGGAGCATTGCTCTGCAGATCAAGGTGCACTCTTTGCTTATGGTCACTTTCATCCTCCCACAGGGTGGCGACAGATCACAACGTAGACAACACCACGACCATCCTGAGAGACTGGCTCATCAAGGTGCAGAATTACTATCACTATGTAGAGTGGAGACCTGACGATAAATCCAGGTACGAGCGAGCGAGTGTGTGCATGCCTCTCTATGGTTGGACAAAGTTAAGTTTAGAACCATAGTTAAGAGGACATTCTGACCAGTTCTCACACCTTCAGGTGGCTGTAGGATTCAGGTTAGACTAAGGTTTAGGTTAGGGCCAGAGTAAGGGTTGGGGTTAGACATTTAGCTGCAGTAGTTAATGTTAGAGTAAGGGCTAGAGAATGCATTATGTCAGTGAGTGTTGTTACAGCTATAGAAAGACCAATGTGCGTGATGATGAGCACACTTCTGAATGTGTGTGTGTGTGTCTCAGTGCCTACGAAGACGAGCTGGGGCCTAAGCATTGGAATAATCTCCGCTACGAACATGTAATGAAGCTCCGTCAGGCAGCGCTGGACATTGCGCGTGAGATCTGGGCCGACTACCTCCTGGTATGTTATCATCCACTCAGCAGCCTCTTAGCTTCTTATCATGTGCTCTAAGTGATGCCAGTTGTGTTTGAAGAGTTAAGTGCGGTAAGCTGATTCGTAGCAGTCAACTCTCTAAAGAGCCACCTATCATCTGTGTCAGCTTAAGCCTGTTCACGGTTAGGGGGTGAAAATGTGGAGATGAGAAAGCAAAGCTCAAAGTTTCACTTAGAAAAGGAAAGTGACAAAAAATGTGAACAAATATTATGGCTGGAGAGAATACATGTATAGAGCATACTGCCGGTACAAGTACAGTCTGTTGGGGAGGGTTGGTGAAAAAATCGAAAGGAGATCACACTGTTGCTGTGGCTCAATTCATCACCGAGAGGCAGCGGGAGACATTTTGTATGTGCTTGTTTGTGTGTGATTCTTGTCAGTATTGCGCCCTTCTCTTCCAACTGCAGGTTGCTGACTGTGACAACCTGCTCACCAATCAGGATGTGTTGTGGAAGCTGATGAGGGAGAACAAGACCATCGTAGCGCCGATGCTGGAGTCCAGAGCTGCATACTCCAACTTCTGGTGCGGTATGACTTCACAGGTACTGCAGATGTTTTCGATTGAGCTGTTTACCACTAACACCTGGCTCCCAGCTTTAAGTACTCCTCACAGATCCTTCGCTTCCTTTGCAGCAAATACGCTGGGTATGTGGTAGCTGATACGGTATGGGTGTGGTTTAAATATTCTGCTGGCATTTGGGACTAATATATTATGCATTAACACCTGTGACAGCCAGATGGTAAAGACAGGAATAAATGCAATACCTACAATAAAAGTATTTTAAAAATACTGCAGCAAGAGATTAGAAGTTGCATTAAAGATTTACAAGATATAAGGTCACGACACTCAGCAAGATGCTTTTTAAGTGCCCATAAGACTATTACACAAATATTATGTACAGGCTTAAAATGATGAACTGCATGTTAGTACAGCTCTGGAAAAAGTCGAGGGCATTTTTTTAAAAGCCCATCATTAAGTCTGTGAGTTACTGATTGCGACTAATGTATCAATTTTCAGGCAGTGCTGCTGAATAATAAGACATATCTCCTTCCACACTGGAAACACAGAAATATAATTTCATAAGAATTGTGCACTTGATTAGTTTTTCCTATGCATGAGGAAATTGAGTTTGTGAAATAAGTTGCTTTAAGTACACCAGAAATGACCTGTCTGTAAATCAGTTGAAGGCGATAGAGCAGTGTTTTGTATTAGTGTAGAGTTCCCCCTCCGATTACTGCACAGGCACTGTTTGTTCTGATAAATCTAAAATTGTAAATGAAATGGTAAATAATTTGTTGTGTCTCACAGGTGAGTTGAAGTCTCACTGATTTTGATGTAACATAATATTTGCTTTTAATAAAGGTTCCTGGTATGAGTCAATTACATGGCGGTACACAAAGGACCCACCCAGAACACTGCCTCTAATTTGCTCCACCATCTCAGTCTGTTACTGGTGTCTTTCATTTGAAGAACCTTATTAACAATCTCATTAAACATTATTTTTCCATAATGATTAGATAATGTGAAAGTGAAAATAGCTTTCTTGAATGTGCTGACTCCCTAGTGTCATTACAGCTACAGTCATGCCCAAAAAATATTGGCACCCCTGCATTTCTGTCAGATAATGCACGACTTCTCCCAGAAAACCGTAGCAATCACAAATTCTTTGGTATTCTCGTGTTTATTTCCTTTGTTTGCATTGGAACAACAAAAAAAGCAGAGAAAAAAAATCTGATCCATTTCACACAGAACTCCAAAAATGCACTGGACAGAATTACTGACACCCTCAGCTTAATATTTGGTAGGACACCCTTTAGACAAAATAATTGAAATCAATCTCTTCCTGTAACCATCAGTGAGTTTCTTCCACCTCTCTACTTGTATTTTGGACCACTCTTCCTTTGTGAACTGCTCCAGGTCTCTCAGATTTGAAGGGTTCCTTCTCCCAGCTGCTGCTCTGAGATCTCACCACAGGTGATTTATGGGATTTAGATCAGGACTCATTGCTGGCCACTTCAGAACTCTCCACCTGACTGTCTGAAACCATTTCTGGTTTTTAAGTCTGCTTTGGGCCATTGTCCTGTTGTAAGACCCATGTTCTCTGACAGAGACCCAACGTGGTCTTCAGATTTCATAATGCCAAACACACAGTCAAGACTTCCAGTGGCTGAAGCAGCAAAGCAACCCAAAAACATCAGTAAGCCTCCACCTACCTGACTGCAGGGACCGTGTCTCTTCTCTTTGAAGGCCTCATTTCGTTTTCTGAAAGCAGTAGAATGATGTGCTCGACCAAAAAGCTCTATTTTAGTCTCTGTGGCTTCCTCGGGTACGTTTTGGCAAACTCTAATCTGGCTTTTTTATGTTTCTGTGTCAGCAGTGGGTCCCCCTGGGTCTCCTACCATAGCGTCCCTTTTCATCCAAATGGTGACAGATAGTGTGAGCTGACACCGTTGTGCCCTGTGCCTGCAGGTCAGCAGTCAAAACAATCCTCTGTTGTAAACTATCATCTATTTTCCTCTTTCGTCCACATCCAGGTAGATTAGCTACAGCGCCATGGGCTGTAAGCATCTTGACCATGTTGTGCACAGTGGACACAGGAACAACCAGATCTCTGGAGATGGACTTGTAGCCTTGAGATTGTCCAGACTTTTCCACTATTGTGTTTCTCAGATCCTCAGACAATTCATTGCCCTTCTTTTCTCCTTGCTCAAGTTTGAGTCAACTTTTCTCCATTTTAACTGGCTGCAAGTGTGATTTCTATATTGCCAGCACCTGTTGCTCCAGGTGAGTTTCATTCCAAATTAAAGGAGCATCCCATGCTTGAAATACAACTATTTCTGATGATTTTGAAAAGATGCCAATAATTTTGTCCAGTGCATTTTTGGAGTTCTGTGTGCAATGGATCAGATTTACCTTTTTCTTCTCCTTTTTTTGTTGTTCCAATGCAAACAAAAATGAAATAAACTTGGGAATACCAAAGAATTTGTGATTGCAACAGTCTTCTGGGAGAAGTGGTGTGTTATCTCACAGAAATGCAGGGGCGTCAATATATTTGGCCATGACTGTATAATATGATTTTGATCAAACTTGCTCACTCTCTCACCCTGCCTTTTTTTTTTTTTTAAGCGATCACAACCAAATTGATGTTGTATTAATTTCAGTAATAAAATATGGAGTTTCAGGTATGGCATTTCTATAGCGTTTGCCCTGACAGCTTTTTGTTTCACCTGAAGACTGTATATAACTGTACAGTGGCCGTGTGTGCTCCTGGCAGGGTTACTACAAGCGTACACCAGCCTACATGCCCATCCGTAAGCAGGAACGTCGTGGCTGTTTCGCTGTGCCAATGGTTCACTCAACCTACTTGGTGGACCTACGGAAACAGGCCTCCCGTCAGCTGGCATTTTATCCACCACACCCAGAGTACAGCTGGGCCCTGGACGATGTCATCGTCTTTGCCTACTCAGCTCGCATGGCAGGTGAGATCACAGGAGTAACAGACTCACTATCTGTAGGGCTTGTTAAACATCTTTGTGATCCATCACCATGTTTTACCTTTTGTTTCTCTTAGATGTGCAGATGTATGTTTGCAACAAAGAAACTTACGGGTATTTCCCAGTGCCAATGCGCTCCCACGCTTCCTTGCAGGACGAGGCAGAGAGCTTCTTGCATACCCATCTTGAGGTCATGGGTGAGTCAAGGGTTGTGTCTGAAATCACTCATTCACTGCTCCCTGTATAATGCAGCCCAAGGAGTTCACTCAGTAGCGTACACCAAATTGAGATTTCGGACACTTAATAATCATCATCACTTTGCCTCATCACTAACAGCTGTAGAACTGTTCGAAGGTAATTTTCTATGTGATAAAATGTGAAGTATTGCATTGTGGGATTGTTAGCAGAATGTTCCATTGTGGAACTTTTAAGTGCACTATATAGTGGATAGATTTACACACAGACAGCTTTCAGACACCACTGTTCAGATGCATTGTGGGATTGTTAGCAGAATGTTCCATTGTGGAACTTTTAAGTGCACTATATAGTGGATAGATTTACACACAGACAGCTTTCAGACACCACTGCAACATGGCGAACTTGGGATATAGTGAATAGGGAGCGATTTTGGACATAGCCGAGAGGTCAGGAAGTGCTCAGAAAGACCATAATAATGTGTTCTGCAACTTCAGGAGAAGGGTGTGAGCTTTCTTTTGAAGGAACACTTACACAGACACTAGGCTGTGATTACAGCAGATTGCCTTTTATACAAAAGAATTGATCTGCAGTTATTCCAACTTTTTCTGTCACTGGCTGTATCATGTCGGCCTGGTCTGCAGGTTTGCATTCCCAACTTGTGTTGTGCTAAACTGTTTTTTTGATATACCTGTTATGAAAAAGCAAGACAACTTTACTTGGTTGAGTTATAGAGTGATGGCTTCACCAGTTAGCAGTGTGCAGTAATACGCATATTTAATTAGACGTAGTGAATGTACCAGTGCTGAAATGTTTCTGCAGCCATTTTCTTTTGTTAAAAATGTTGACATGATAGACATGGGGAGCTGCTCAGATGCAGGACACAAATTTGTGTGTTCTTAAAAAAGCGTGTGCCACTAACATTCAAAGGAAATGTAGTGACAGATTAGGTGTGGCCCTGTATTTCAGGGAAGGTGTTCATACCAAGGTCTTCCAAAATACATTCCATGTTATCAGAGTGAAGGTGGTGTGCTACTGAAGCTCTTTATTAAGTTCACTTGATCAAAGCATTACACACAACTGTGTATACTGCACTATACTCTTTGTACACTATTACTCTACACATTACAGATGAGGAAAGCCCAAACGTATGGGGCTGTGAAACCTACAGAATTATTAAAAATTGTAATTTCTCTATGCATACTCATCTTGCTAAATTATAGTGTGTAAAATCAAAGCCAAAGTTAAACTCTGGTTCATTTTGGGAGCTTCCTGTGACTCCCATGGACCCCTGTGGTTCTCTGGACCACATTTTGGGACTCCCTGTTGTCTTCGTAACCTTTCCCTCTTTTTTCTTTCAAAGTCAAAAATCCTCCGTTGGAGCCATCCACTTTCCTGTCTGTTCCTCCCAGGCAGTCCAACAAGATGGGCTTTGATGAGGTACGTGTCCTCTCTCACACACAAACACGCAGTACCTTAAGCGTGCATTAGACGTTTTGCATTTGTGTGCACCCAGGTGTTTATGATAAATCTGGTGCGGAGAGCTGACCGTCGTGAACGAATGCTAAGATCTCTGTACGAGCAGCAGTTCAGCTGTAAGGTTGTTGCTGCTGTGGATGGCAAGTACGTTTATCATCTTCTTCTTCCTCTCACACTGTCTGCCTTTCTGATTTGTGCCTTTGCAGCATGTGGTGTCGACTGATGTAGGGAGGCAGGGCTGAGGCAAACAGCCGGGTGTAAAGTAGCAGGGTGTGTGCTGCTCTTTAAAGATTCCCTGAACATCATTTTATCTTATTTGGAGAAACTATAACTCTAATCTGGTGTCATGTTTTATATATTTGATTGTGTCTTCTCGGCTCTTGTCTTGTGGATTTTTATTCACCCCTCTGCTTCACATTCATATAATTTGTTTCCATCTCTAATTGGGTTGTTCATCCCCTCTGTTTCTCTCAGAGCTCTGAACAAGTCTGATATAGAGTCTATGGGGATTAAGATGCTGCCAGGCTACAAAGACCCCTATCATGGTCGACCTCTCACCAAGGGCGAGCTGGGTTGTTTCCTCTCTCATTACAACATCTGGAAGGAGGTGAGATGCTTAGATAGGCCTCAGGCTTCCAGGTCTACCTGTGCCTGCTAGATAATGTTTACTCCTGCAGAACACAGTTGCTCAGGTTATGTGAGGAAAGGCAGCCTGGTGGAAGTAATGAGCTCGTTTTATTTATACTTCAATAAATGTGCAGGTGTTTTGTGAACTTCATTTTTAGCAGCTGGATGTTTCTCCTGAAGAGATTTGTAGGTAGTTACATATCTGTCATGTTTCAGTTGTAAGAAAAGAAAATGTATTGTTCTGTGGATTTCAAAAAGTGCTGCTTTTCTGCATGGCTTTCTTTATAAGTCAGGTAGGATTTCACTAATGAGCACAACACGAATTTGAAGCATAAAATATTGTTGCCATTACTTAATAACTCTAAAAAAGGACCCTGAATGTTGCCAGTGAAGGATTTTCAAACTTTTTGCATCATACTAATGCTTGATCAGGCTATATGCTATTAATCAGGCTCACAGCATCTCACAGCACTGAAATGCTCTAAATCCATACGTGTGTGTTTAGATCATAGACCGTGGTCTGCAGACCTCCCTGGTCATCGAGGATGACCTCCGCTTCGAGGTGTTCTTCAAGCGTCGTCTGCAGACGCTGCTGCAGGAGGTGACAGCAGAGAAGCTGGACTGGGATCTCATGTGAGTGACGCTTCAGTGGGCAGAAGGAAAACACAGCGTAGTAAACAGAGAGGATTATCATCCCCCAGCAGTGAAATCCATCCATCTGTCACACATGGTATTTCAGACACCACTGTTCAGATGCTGAAATCACTTGTGGAAATAATGCATCTTATCATCCCAGAACTAAGCACTGTGCTCCAGTGTTCTCACTTTATCAGTGAGTCACCCAAAGGTCACTGTCTCAGAAGAGCAAGGTGGGAGGACTTATCTCTGAATGGCCTGTCGATTTTTCACTGTAGTAAGTGCTAGATGAATTTGAGTACCTTCAAGGCTCAGATGGACATAGAACACCTTTATCCTCTTTTGTAATGAGCATTATAAAGTTTTTTTCCCAAATAAAAGGTTAACAGCACAAGCCTGTATACATGTAAGGATAGTTTTGATAGGAAACATCCAGTCACTGAGCTTAACATTCTGCCACATGCACCACTAACAGCAACCTACTGTAGGATAGGAACTGCTGTATAAAGACCTAATAACATGTTCAGTGGTTTACATCATTTCACTTTTGAATTTTAAGTCAGTTTTTGATGAAGCAAGAAGCTGACATCTTCTGCACAGCAACAGAGGCTCATGAATATTGTATTATTTAGAGCCATTTGTTACTACAGTACTAAACTGGCTAAAAACCTTAGTTCTCAGTATCAGAGGGATGTCCTGCTCAAGTTTTTTCTGGCCTCGATATGGATCCGATTCCTTTAATATTAAGTGTCTGCTGATACAGATCCAATAATTAAATTTACCTACAGTAAATTCTCCTTAAATATCTGACATACTGACATTGAAATGAATCTGACACACTGTGTGTTTCAGGAGCTTCTTCATCTAAATACTGGATTAGGTCTTGGTTCCAAAATTTTAAGTTTATTATCTTAAAGTATTGAAATGATTGATTATTGATATAACTAGGAGCTGGTCAATACCCTCTCAGAACTACAGATTCATTACGGGGCAGATACTAACTGCTACTTCGTGTCCGTATGTGAACACACAGCTTCTGTTGTAGCACCATTGGATAAAAGCATAAAACTTACCATGTCTACACCAAAAGCACAGCATGTGCAACTTGCAACATCTTGTGTGCACATCGCGGGAGGCTCACCCGAGCATAGGAAGCGCTAGGTGTACAGAAACGCATAGAATTGCCCACAGAAACACTATGGTCCAAAACTCTGGCAATGACAGAATTATTGGCTGTGGCTACACTTTCATGTACTGTATACTTTTTAGCGTTACAAATGCTGTCGTTCCTGGGTCCCTAATTGTGTGCTTGTTGATGCTTGCTAATTTTTTATATTAATTATCATTCCTAACACCCTTGTACAGTTACATCGGACGGAAGCGCATGCAGGTGGACCATCCAGAGAAGGCTGTACCCAACATCCACAATCTGGTGGAGGCCGATTACTCTTACTGGACGCTGGGCTACATGTTGTCATTACAAGGAGCTCAGAAGCTCATCAAGGCCGAGCCTCTGAGCAAGATGCTTCCTGTTGATGAGTTCCTCCCTGTCATGTACAACAAACATCCAGTGTGAGTATAGCCCTGCCGCTGCCTTCATTTTCTCTCTTCTCTCTGTTTCTCTTATCTGTCTCCTCTGTGTGATTCTGTCCTGAAGCGCTCTTGTTAATCTAATCACATCCTCCCCGCTCCTCTCAATCCTCAGTTCAGAGTACATGGACCACTTTGAGCATAGGGACCTGCGTGCATTTTCTGCTGAGCCTCTTCTGGTGTATCCAACCCATTACACTGGAGACACAGGCTACATCAGTGACACGGAAACATCTGTGGTCTGGGACAACGAGACGGTCAAGACAGACTGGGACCGAGCCAAGTCGAGAAAAACTCAGGAGCAGGAGGAGCTAAGCTTCGAGGCCCAGAACTCTGATGTACTGCAGTCTGAGCTGGAGAACTGGAGCGTACGGGATGAGCTGTGATGAAGAAGAGAGGAGGTGAGGAGGAGGGAGAGAGGCCTCTGGCATACAGAGATAAGGATGAGGGAGATAGAACAAAGCTGTGATAGTAGAGGGAGGCAATATAACAGAAAGCAGTAGAAGAGGCAGGAAAGGCAGAGGACACAGGAACAAATGCTTTGCTTTGAACATTTGTTTCCACTGCTGGAAACAGAACTGATGAAGCCTCTCGGATGAGAGGTGAAACGTCTTCAACCTAGAAATCTAGTCCAGTTGATTTTTTCCAGATTACTATGACCTGGATGACTGAGAATCTGCACAGACATTTGTTTCCACTATTTGATTTTTCTCTAAGAGAGGAGGTTAGATGTAGAGTTAACTCTTGAAGAGTCAGCTAGCAGCTTCTGTTTTATTTATTGCATCCAAAGCACATCCCTTGACCACAGCCTGGCCCATTCATAATCCCATTACTTTCATCATGTTTGTGCCCAGACTCATCCCAAACAGTATACTCCATAAATTCTGCTAAACAAATTGATCTATTTCAGATTCCTCTGGTATTTCTCTAAATGACTGCTGCTAACATTTCAACTGTCCAGCACATTTTCACACCACCAAAATGTCACATGTTTACATATCAAAGCCACAGAATATCTTGGGTTTAAAATGGGAGCTTCTGTAGTATAAAAAGATTTTATTAGAGTGCTTTGTGTGCAGATTATAAAGCTGTCATGGAAACAACTAGGGGTGGGAGGAAAGAAATCGATTCACAAAAGAATCACAGTGTATATTTTCTGTGATTCTGAATTGATTCACAAATGCTAAAAATTGATTTTTGCAATATTGCATTACCACATTACTCGGCAATTTGATACATAAAGATCATTTATAGAAAGGTTGAGGGTACGCTCAATGGAAGTGGATACAGCATGGTGCAAATTCATTCATTCCACCACTTGACTTAAAAAATATCAATATCTTACGCCTAATTATTATGGTCTATTAAGGAAAAACAAAATCCTAGTCCTCCTCTTCAACTTCCAAGTCCGAATGCAGTCAAATCGAGAATAAACTTCAAGTTCAACAAGAGTTTCCTACAGATTCCTACCCCTAGAAAAAACAGAATAGACTCTCTCACTAGTTCTCAGTCAGGTTTTTTAAACCCATAAAACACATCAGTGCCTGTCTGCAACCCCAAATCATCAGTTGCCTATATCTACTGGTTGTAATCAGTTTTTCCAAACAATGACTTGTCTTGCTTTATTTTTATAATTGTTCCAAAGAAGTAAAATTATCCAGTAAATAACAAAAAATGCAAGAAAAATGATTTATAACTTTGTGTGGAACAAAAGTTTTTGCTTTCCTCTTTTGTTAATTATCTTGGGACACACTGTGGAGTCCCAACCCCCAGGTTGGAAACCACTGCCCAGTCTTCTTCTTTAACTCCATGCTGTTTAGTTTACTTACAAGTAGCCAGTTTGATATTTATTATATATTTTTAACCTCACTTATTTCTGTCACTCATGAATGTATTGGTGTTTTCTTTTCTTTACACTTTGGTAACAACTGTTTGGTTTGTATTTTTCCGCTCGCTGCATATTGCAGTTTTACCCCAAACTTGCAGCTTTTATTGCATTTTTTTTTTGTTAAAGATCAGAAAAACAAATGTTTATATATTTTTAGTAACTCTTCATGTTTTGTCTTTGCTCTCTGAGTCTTTTTTTTTTTTTTAGCTAAAGAACAAATAAAAAAAATTCATGATGGAAAGCTTTTTTGGTTTTTGTCATTTTTTTTTTTTTTTTTTTTTTTTACATGCGTAGCTAAGGTTAGAGTCCCTCGAGGCTCAGTTAAAAGTGCACGGTAGCACTGACATGTTAGAACACCAGAAGCTAAAACATCAAAATACCGTCTGGACTGCATCTCACTATATCTGGTGAGATTTCTTTTAATTAGTGCCTCCTCCATTACGTTTACACAGATGATCTCCTATTCACTGCTGACCTCTGAACAATCACCCCGCTGTTCTCAGTGTTACAGTTTCATCATATTTGCATCCAACATAAGGATTTTGCCACTAAATTGGAAAAAATGTCAATCATTCTTCTGCATGTTTGAGAACCAACATTATTTCAGTCTAAAACACTGAAAATCAGCATGCTAACATGTCAGTGTTAGCTGGTAACATCTACCCTGTTCATCATGTTTGGTTGCTAACATTTGCTGATTAGCACTAAACACAAAGTTGTGTATTCACCCAGAGGGGAGGGAACATGAATATCTTTAGTTAATTTAATGGCATTTCATCCACTAGTTATCCACATCATTCTTGTCACAAGTGGTGGACCCATATTGCCATTTGTGCAGCCGTACTGCTAACAAGCCTAAAAAGCTTTGGTGTGTTTGCTCACGTCTACATTAAGTTCCTGTTTATTATGTCACGGGAGTGTTTGTGTTTGTGTGGCCCATGGCGCATGTCTGTGCGACTCTGACTAATCCTATTGGATCTCTCCCCCCACCTTTATATTTACCTCACCCCTCTCTCTGAGATTAACCAGTGCAAGTGCCGCTGCAGATCAATAGTCACTTCTCGACAGCAGGGCCTGTTGGGGTTTACTAGAACCAGGCTCCACTCAAACAATCGACTTTCTCAGTTCATTTCTTTGATGCTCCACATCCTGGCTGTTAAATCACCTTAATAACAGGTGTGAAATAAACATTATTCTGCTCTGATATAGGAGGTGAGACTCCAACTAGTACTTGATGCTTAAACAAAACATATCTCTTTTTTTTTCTGTCATTCATTCCACCATGTGACTTAAATGTCTGCCCTCTCTTTGCAATCCGTGTGTCCTTTTCTTCATCCTGTCTTTCCTCCCTATTTTCTTCTCCTTAAGTAATAAGATTGCTACTGTTAATCTGGAGTTTTAGGGCCTACAGTGCGCACAGACACACACGAGCAACCTCTGCCCCCTGAATTACAGCTCCGCCACACCTCCAGCTATGTGTAATCTCCCTCAGTAGACCACAGAGTGCAGGGTAGAGAAATTACAGAGAGGAGAGTGAGGAGGCAGTGAAAGGTAAAATAAACTTCACAGGATTTAAGGAAGAGAAGAAAATCAAAGAAAGAAGACAATGGCTTGAAAGTGAGGGAAAACTCTGGATATATTTCTTTTCTTGTGGGAGTCAAGGAGTTTCAAGGTGAGGTAAATTACTTGTGGTATATTCAGCTGCCACAGCACATACAAAGATGGATGGCCTACTAAATTAGTGACTAACAAAACGAAGCAGTGTTGTCAGTATGAATCAGGTGTGATCAATCAGCTTCAGAAAGTGAACTGGATGATTGTGAAATAACTTTTCCAAGTGTATGATTTAAGCTCTGACCTTTCAAAGTCTTACAGTAAATGCTCTTTTTTTCAGGTAAGGTTCAATCCTGCTCAATTTCAAACATATTTCTCCCACATCAGCCTCGGACGTTTTGGTCCACAGTTGTAGTCTGTAATAGATCTGGAACAGGTCAGAGCCAGAGAGCCAAATCTAATTTGTGAGGTTATCGCTGTCAATTTTCAGCCTGCAGCAACTGCTGTGACAGTGAAATACAGGCTGGGTGAGGCAGATAAAGCACATTTCTGAACTGTTAGGCTTGAACTTTATTTTTAAATCTGAAATATGTTTGTCATGTGTGTATTTTTTATCCTTCTCTTGGAAAACACCATCTTATAAATGACTCCATTCTGGCTGAGCTGTAGTGTTGTCTTTATGTTGTGATTTATATTTGGCTACGAAAACTATTGTAACCTACAGACCGGATGTTTTTTAGTAGGCAATGATACAGTCAGTCACTTAGCACCAGTTAAAGAGAACAGCAACACAAACTGTTGCACATAGGTATGGAAATGATTAGGTTTCTAGGCCTATTTTTAATATGCGTGTTTTTGTTTATGCTAAGTGCAACTCAATCAGTCAACCATAAGATGGTGTAGGATACCAGCATGTTCTGAGTAGGCTACATGTATTGAAAACCCAGAATCATACTTAAATCTGCTCCCGTAAAAAGGAGGAAAACCTCAAACAATGACTCAGCATAATCATAAGAGTAGAGTCCATATTTCAGTTTTTATGTAAAGGTAGATCTGCGGCCATGTGGATAACTGAATTATATAGGTTACAATGCTATTTAGACTGGAGTCTTTTTTTTTTTTTTGAAGCTGGTTTAAAATTTATCTGGAGTTGTCACAGCAACAAGCGCTTAAGCCCAAACCTACTGACGTACATGTCCACTGAGGGTTGGTGCGATCATGACCAAGAGTTTAACATTTATGAACTCATTTTCTGATACAAAAGGCATGTTTTTAGAGCTATAATTAAATGTTATAATTATGAATTTAGACTACATCTAGGTTGGTGAAGAGACATTATAGTTGGCTTATACACTTATCACAACATGATTAATATAAAACAAAGTAAAGGTTTGAATATTAAAAATGTTTATCCTCGTGTCAGCATGTTAACCTGATGTAACCTGGAAGACATGTTCTAGATATTGGTGCTATAACAACTGTGCACATTTAGACCATTTAGATAATGCTCACGCCTTCATCTGCAGTGGAAATAAGTAGATGTTTTATGATCACCAACAAATTGTGCTATCAGTCACTCATCAATGTCTCAGCTCACTATACTGTACTATGTGTCTATGTGTGGCCATCACACATAGAGGTGGCAGAGATGCTGTCGTTCATCTGTATATTTCACTAGCTGTTGTTCTTTCCCAGAAGGACACCATTAGGTAAAGGACACAGTTATTTACTCTGATGGAAACAGTGTATTGGGCCTAAACATACACCAGGAGCAGTGGCCATTCATCATGTTGCATTCAAAACATAATCTTTAAGTTTAATAAGCCCTGAAAACATCTTATGAGTTTCTTCTTTATTCGTGTTCAGTCATGAATATTTAATTATAGAGATAAATTCCTACTGTAAGGGGCCCATAGACCACAATGTGAAGCAGCTAAAATCTGTTTTCACAACCTAGAGAAATTCAAAATCCATTCTCCTGCTGCTACAGTGCTGTTCGTGTTCTCTAATACATACATAGATTACTGCTTTATGCCACAGGTTCACACTCATTATCCCTATGTTGTTGAAAGGCATTCTGGGAAAATATAGGAAATCACTAGTTTAGTATAGAGTTCAGCTCCTGGGGATGTACTGAAATTCCATCCAGCAGCGTGAGAGTATCTGAGGGTATATTTTTTCTTTGGGTGTGGATGACATGGATGTTGGCCATCAAATGCGTTAGCCACAATAAAGATGGTATGTGTATACAGTAGCACATACTGTATGTAAACAAATCTGTGATGATCATCCTTTCTCCGGGGTGTCTTTCTCTCTCCTAGCTTTCATCATGGTGGATCTATTCCTTAACCGAGTTCTTGTGGAAAACAACTGGGACCAGGATGAACTCAACACAGAGCGCGAGATCATTGGGATCCTGGAAAACCGCATCCTGATGCTCTTCTTTGCATCTGCGGAGTGTGAAAAGTGTCAGCAGTTTGTACCTGTTCTGAATGACTTTTTTAAGAAGTTGAAAGATCCGGCCTACATTGAATACCCCAAACTGCTCGCACTCGTCTACATTAGGTCTCTATCTTTCCATCTTTGTCTCTCTGATGCAAAGATGTGATGGCATAAACTCACATTCATACTGTTTTCTCATTCATAACATTGCTGTTTCTATATTCTCTCTGCAGCTTGGACCAGGCAGAGGAGCAGCAAGAGAGATTCCTCAAAGAGCTGCACAAAAAAGTTCTGTTTTTGACCTTTGAAGACCCATACAGGACGTAGGTGGATGGTGGGAGAGTTAGAAAAGTCTGATATTCTTTGTGTGTCTTCCCAAATATATGTGTATATTTAACCTGTATAAATGTGTGTATTTAAAATCCCATTAGGTTGTAAAGCACATTGACACCAGTATGAACAAAGTCGGGTTCCTAGTCAAGTCATATTATGTGTGTGTTCCTCCATTTTTCAGGGAATTGCAGACAATATTTAAGGTGAAGGACATTCCAACAGTAGTGGTCCTTCGTCCTGACTGCTCGGTCCTCTCTAAATGCTGTGCAGGACATCTGTCGCTTTGGTTCAGACTGTTTCCATAACTGGCAGGAATCAGCAGAGCTCATTGAGAGGAGCTTCATGCTTAATGAGGAGTTTGAAAACATAAATCTGCGTAGTGCCACCGACCCTGTGAGGAGACTCAAATACAAGACAGAGGATGACAAGAGGAAAAAGAGATGGTGGAAGTTATAGGGGAAAGGCAAAGCTGAAAAATAATATGAGGAAGAGAAAGATACAGCTTGGGATATGAAGCGAAAGGAGGGAGACAAAGGGATGTGGGGGAGAAGATGAAGAGAACAAATGAAAGATAAAAATATACTCACAGGCCACTTTATTGGGAACACCTGTACAATTGTATGCAATTCAATGCAATGCAATGCCTTAACATCTGTGTTTATGAAGCTCAAAATGTTTGGGTTTTTGGTGAAACTGTCATAAATGTATAAATTCAATTATATGTTTATTATTGAGGTCATAGTTAAAGGTGGTGTTGTACTGGACTACATTATATTCAGAGGTGTTCCTAATATTCTGACCCTCTCATGTATGTATCTGGGGTGGACAAAAATATAGAGACATTTCAGAATTATACTACAATTTCTGCTTCTACATATTGTGTCCTTCTGTTTTAGGATTATTACTGTGTCACAAATATGACCAATTCTAGTCAACCAATAACTGAAGTTATCTAAGAGTGACAGGTTTTCAGTTCTGAGAGCAAATGTTATTGTTTTCACACACAGAAACATACATGTACATGAACAGTACACATCTCAGTTATTTTCTGCCTACACTGGCACTGAGCCTCAGAATCCAAATCTACATCAGCACAGATCAATACCTGTGCATCAACAGTGGCTCAAATGACTACATGTAGTGAGAAAGGGGTCACATATGGTACACTGACACACCTAGCTCGTAGTTTTAGTTATCCGACCAGGTAAGTCCAACCAGCTCCAGTTCCAGCAATATCAGGTGGCTGAAGAAAGTTGAATGTCTTGTTGCTGAAGACCAAAACAGAGATGAAACAAACATGAATACTAGACTTGAGTCCATCAGATGAACAGGAACACAACTCCAAAGGGATGCTGATGTAGTTCCATGTCTGCTGGATGTGTACGCCAACACTGCTTGGATCATAATGCATCATGGCTATTGTTTTTTTATTTATTTATATATTTATTGTTTTTTGTACAGCTTTATTTTGTTTTAGTGTTAAACAAAATGGTGCTGGTGTTATATAATTGAAATTCAGATTTCATCACTGGTATATGTTATTTAGTTTAGCATTATTTTTAAATAATTACATATAAGTTGCATTGATTTTCAAAACAACAACAGCCCAAAAAACAATACATTCTCAATCCTGTTAACACAAATTGTGTCTATGTCTCTGCTGTGGTGTCGTGGTCATATTGTGCTGCTCCCCGTAGAGCGAATCTATTACTGACCTAATATTCCCTGTGGCTCTGCACCTCCATTAGTCACTGAATAATAAAGGTCTCACAGTGGCTCACTTCAAATTAAGGCATTTTTATTTATTTTTTAGCATATCTCTCATTCACACTTACACAGTGACTGCAAATACTTCATACCCCTTGTCCCTCTGTCATGCGTGTCTTTCAATCCCTCCCTCAGATACAGGAGAGGGGAGTTGGAGTGCAGTGACACAAAGGAAGAGTGAGGGAGCAACTACAGTAGGTGAAGGAGACGGCGAGTGAACATGATACAAACTGACAGGCTGGGAACCAAATCAAACACGACCCAGGAAGAGTTGAAAAGGGGGGAAAAGCTAATTTTCAAGGCTGTTTTCTTTTGGGATTTGCTGTCTCAGGGGGGAGATAATATTTGTTAGAGGTAAGCAACTGTGAGGATTATCTGATTTAACAGCAAGTAAGATTATACAGGTCACAGTGTGACTGAGTGGAGACATGCTATCTAATTTAATAGTCATCTATATATGTGCAAGATAAGCTTTTTGGAAATGTGGAGACTTTTTCAACCATTCCCATGTATGCTATGGTTGTTAGCCTGTGCTTTCATGTTTGGCAGTGACAGTCATGCACGTGAGAAGCTTCACAACCCTCTGTTTTAGTTTATTCCTATTGCTATAAACTATGCTGTTAAACAAATCTGTGTAAATTATTTTGTAACACTCCCTGTGGCTTCACTAATCCTCAGTTGTCAGCACCGTCCTCATGGTGGATCTGTTCGTTGATCAGGTCCTGGTGAAGAACAACAAGGACCAAGATGAGCTGGACACAGAACGTGAGATTGTCCTGCGTTTGCAGAACCGCATCCTCATGCTCTTCTTTGCATCAGCCATATGTGAGAGCTGCCGGCGGTTTGCTCCCACACTCTGTGACTTCTTTAAACAGCTGACAGATGAGTTTTATGTGGACCGTGCTGCTCAGCTCGTTCTCCTGTACATCAGGTACAACACACAAGCACATTAGTCATCCCAGAGGTGGAAAGTAACTGAGTACGTTTACTCAATTACTATACTGAAGTACAGTTTTGATGTATTTATGCTTGAGTATTTCCATTTTCTGCTACTTCATACTTTTACTCCACTACATTTATTTTGAAAAATTTGATCTTTAGTTACTTTTCTGAATCAGATTTTGTGAATCAGGTGATTTTCCTTTTCCTTCATTCATCAGTTTGGACCAGTCAGAGGAACAGCAAGAAAGCTTCCTCAAAGAGCTGCCTAAGAAGTGCCTGTTCCTGGCCTTTGAGGACCCCTACAGGAGGTGTGTGACACTGGCCACTTAGCTGTGTGCACAACCTGCTGGTGGCTGATTGTAATATAAATACTTAGCTGTGTAAATCCAGTAGCTCTGTGTCTGTGTATGTGTGTGTGTGTGTGTGTGTATGTGTCCACAGGGAGCTGGAGGCCATTTTTAATGTGGAGGAGCTGCCCACAGTGGTGGTGCTGCGTCCTGACTGCTCCGTCGTCATCCCTAATGCAGTGGAGGAGATACTCCGCCTAGGCCCAAGCTGCTACTACAACTGGCGGGAAGCAGCAGAGCTCATCGACAGGAACTTCATGATCCATGAGGACTTTGAGGAGAAGTCCATGTGTAGCTTCACGGACCCTGTGAGAAGACTCAAATACAAGTTGGAAGATGGGAGGAAGAAAAAGAAGAAGAAGAAAAGTCACAGAGGGAGTGGTGGAGGTGGAGATGAAGGTTTGGAAGCAGATAGAAAAGGAGTAGGAGGAGCAGGGTCGCCATGGTGATGGAGACGATTAGTAATTAAAAGTTTCTGCTGGCGCTGCCAGTGTAACACTGCTTTCTTTAGCTAAACAAAAACCCTTTTCAGAAAATACTGATATTTGTCATAATATTCATGAAGCCGAAATGTCAAATGAATGCTATTGCTACTGGCTTTGCTCTTCTATATCAGTTTTAAGCAACAGCTGTGATGTTATTGCAAACGTAGGTGTGGATATGCCAACAACCAATAAAAAGGAATGTAAAACACTATCTAAACAAACACTGAATGCTGCTACCGGGCGCAGAACTCAGCTTAGAATTGGCTGTCTTAATGTCTTTGAATGCTGCCAAGTATACAGTCAAGCCAAGATTAGGTCTGAGCCAAGGCTTGCCATTACAGCTTCCCTTATTACACCCAGGAGGTTATTCTAACAATTTCTCTATTTTCAGCAACACAGGCCTGTAATTCACTTTTTACATGATAATTTGTACCATCCAATCAAAACACACCATGCATAATCTGAAATCAAAGAATTATTCAGCACCATTAAAATAGTTGTGTTAGTGACTGTTGTGCTTTGAGTGTTTGGGAAGTCTAGCTACACTTTACAGACTATGCAAGAAGCAATCAGAGCCATTCAAAAGCAGCTCAGTGGAACTAGCTTTTCTACATAATCAGTGATTTCCTTTGACTGTGACTCATCTTTCATACTGAAGACTGTGTTTAGCCGTTGCACACTTCCTCATACATGTAAACTGCACTGAGGATGCTTTTATGAGATCACTCAGGATCTTCATTTGCAACAGTTCCTGACTAGAGGAAGATGGGCGGTTTGATTCCTTTTTCTATCCTCTGAGTGACCCGAGCCTTAACTATGTTCCCATTACTTCTAAAATCCACATACAAAAAAAATCAATGGAGCACTTCTTTACATCCTAACAGTAAGGACACACGATGAAGCCAGGGTGTCATTAAGTGTGGTACAGGTGTGGCTGGTTGATTGCTGGATGTGCTTTATACATCGCAGTGACATGATGATTTATGTCGAAGCATCCAGTTAGTGACACTCTGACAAATAGGCCACGTTTTCTGTCAGAGCTGCTCTAACTCTTCCTTAATGGAATTATTGCGTGCTGTCTGGATGTGCACTGTGCAGCGCCGGCTACAAAGCAAACAAAACAGCTCCCCTTCCTTCATGCTCTTGTCATAGTAGCCTATAAATGTAAATGTTAAAAAGAGACAGAGACGTGAAGAAACGAGAGCCGCTGTTTTACCTACATATCTTCCGTTTTGCCTGTACAGCAGCTTGGTATTGCTCACTCAGACAAATCTTGATAATACCATCATCGCCCACGCCCCACACGCGCACACATACACACACATTCACGTGAGCACACACAGGCACACGCGCGTTGCGCGCTCTCGAGTGCAGAACGCGCAACAAGCGGACCAGCGGAGGGAGAGAGAGCGCCACAAGAAGAACAGAGAAGGACGGATGCAAGGCGAGGCCAGGAGCGGAAAACCTTATCTCTCCTGCTTGTCCAGCTGTTGTATTCTTGTTTTTTGTCCTTTTACCTCAACGTCATTTTAGGCTATAACACGACTCTTCTCCTTTTGAAAAACCTAGATATGTTCCCATATCGGTCCTGATGTGCTGCTGCGCCTCATCACTATTCTTCAAGGATATGCAAAGCGCTTATCACATCGACGTTCTCTTCTATTAAATGCAAGGATGTAAGTGAACGATATCGGAACCGTATAATCAACAATGACATTTGTGCTTGATTAGCTGTAGAAATCGACAGAGGAAGCCAGAGCAGACAGGGTTTGTGCTTTAAATTACGCCTAATTGTTTTTGTGTGTGATCCTGAATTCCCACCCCCCACCCCCCCCGCATCTATCGATGCTATAAGGCCTATAGCCCGCATCATCTCTGGGCATGAAACCCGTGGGAATTATGATACCAACGTGACGCACAGTCACACAGCACAGCGGGGAAGACATCGAGCCTCGACAGGACGGAGGGAGGGTGTGAGGTCCAGCAGAGCAGAGCCCTGCACAGTACACTGATCACAGGAGAAGGACGCCCAGTTGTTGTTGGACATATCGCGCTAATGACTGCCGTATAGCCCAGTAGGTATCGCCCACCACTATTTTCCTATTGAATATTTAATTTTTTCATGCATTGGGCAGAGCGAAGCGGGAGACAGAGAGGAGAGTACAGTGGGTGAGGGCGCGGAGAGACGGGATGTGGGAGACGCAGTGAGCGAGGAGGAGGAGGAGGAGGAGGAGGAGGAGGAGAAGGAGGGAAACCAGAGCATTGACGGTAAGATATGCATATAGACTATAAGGATGCACCCCGCCCCTCTGATCTCCCCGTCTTTCTCTCTTGTGCTTTATCTCTTTTCACACGCAACCACGCACATACATGACCAATGCTTGAGTAGACAGCTCCTTTGCTGCTGCTGTCAAGTGCCATTTGATCACCGAGGGACAGGGATCCTGATGCTGCTGTGCTGGGCCTCACTACTGGCTGCCATTAAAGCTGGGTCAGTGGTATAGCAGTGTGAGGCGTGAGTACAGTGAAATATTCATGGAAGGGAGAAAGTGGTATAATAACTAAAGGTGCCCATTGCTGAGGGGTCTGTCAATGGTGGGCTGAATCATGCTCATTATAACACACCTTGATTCCAGTGTCTGTGCTGAGCTGCAGCAAAAAGTGGTGTAAACATGCACACACACACACAAAGAGCTTTAAATGCAAGGTTTGGTTTACTGTTCACCATAGATGGGAACACAAGGCGAAAAGAGACATGAGGGAGAAGGCAGCGCAGAACGAGTGAGAGTCCATTATCAATATTTCAGAGAGGGGAAGAGAGGACTGGGTCAGTGGAGGAGGCCATTCAGGGAGACAGGAGTGACTGTGAGGAAGAGAGACGCAAAGGAGGAAAGAGACGAAGCCTCAGCGGCTGCCAAGGCTCCTGCTCCTCTGTCAGGCTCAATTTCTGATACATTTGTGACCTCAGGTGTGTGTATTGTATGTGTTCTATTATATAATTTGTGCATCATACTAGTAGCAAATAGATTTTGTGTGCGAGCAATGAAAATATTTGATTTGAACTGATTTATATGTAAAATGTTTTTGACTCACCGTGTGTGTATGTGTGTGAGTGTGTGTGTGGCTGCACTGTGCATTTTTGAAAAGAGAAAAAAAGGTCAACAAGGTTTGTAGGGATCATTTACATCAACCCACTGTGGAGAAAAAAGCAAAGTGATTTGCTTAAACCACTCAGCCACACACATGCACACACACGCTAACAATTTGGTTGGATTTTCTGTCATTTGACTTGTAAAACACACCATATTTGTCTCTTTTGTTTGTGGACCACCTCAGACAGGTTCCTATCATGTCCCTTTGCATCAGTCAAACACACCGAGTCAGTCGGCTTGCTTGTGCTGGGAGCATTTATACAAGGCCTATGCAGAGCTGGGAGTGGATATATCAGTGATATCGATATCATGATATGAAATTAGACATCAGCTGGGATTTCATTTATTTCATTATTGAAGGTCTGCAGCTAGTTCTCATTTTTGTTATCTGTGAAAAAAAACCCTCTACTGTTATATGACCAAAAAAAAAAAAATCATATGTGGTAAATTAAAGCAGTAAAACTGACCAAAATAAGTAATCAGTCGATTTTCTGTCAGCCAGCTATTTAGTTGTGTAGACTCCACCTGTTTGATAACCACATTATATAATCGTTGCTTTTCTTTGTGTGTGTAAATATCTTTGAAAGCAGGAACAGCCATCTGCTGACATTAAATGAATAATTATAGATAACAAAAAACATTCTGTTATATTTAATTATAGATGTGAGTAGGGCCAAACAAGTCCAGATTTAATTTTAATTAAATTTTAATTGCAAGTATTTATTTATTTATTTATTCATTCATTTACGAGCTTGAGGTCATGTCACAGATGAAAATGCACCGATACTGAAACACAATTGAAATATCACATTATTTAGGACTTTATGTGTAAGATTTAATGCTGCCCTTTTCATATTTCTGCTGTTATGTTGTATTCCGGGTTTTTACAGTTGGTTTGTGCAGATGAGGCCATTTAGCCATGTACCAGTTTGACACTTCTCTTAGACCACTGACTATTTATTTTAGAAATTTCTGTTAGGGTTATATTTTAACTTTCTAGTATTGCTGTTCTTAAACCGGGTCCCTGAGTTCCTAATTGCATTCCTTATACACTACGTGTTAACATTCTGGAATGAGAATAAAACTTCTTTGAATCCTAGTTTCACAGGTCTGTTGTGAGTCGAGGCAGTTACATTAGCAGGTTAACTTTCTGTACATGTTTTAAAAGACTGATTTTCACAATGCAAACATTTTGCATTAAATAAATAAATAAATAGCCCGGTTAATTTGACAGTTTTCTTGACCGTAGCTGTGGAAAATAAATAAAAAGGTTTCACTCACAGTAATTTGTTATCATAACAATATATCATCAATAATAACCAGATAGAAAACAGTCAAGAATGTCTGCTTGTAGTTAACCTCATAATTTAAATACCCCTTAAAATACGCCATAAATTAAACAATAAAACTACCAGAGATGACCAAGAAATACCTTTCAGTTTATACATGGTGCAGCAAAATCTCTTATGGAAAACAAAAGCTTCTCTCATATTACAGTTTAATGTCATACAGTACTGCCAAAACCTGTTGCCCAGATTTAGCGTGCTCTGTCTGAATGCACCCGACTCTGACTGAGATGTGCTCTGTCACATCTCAGTCAGCGACTGTGGAGGAATCAAAAACTGTTTTTTTTAACCATCACATGTTGTCACACCTCAGGGTCATGTGACATGTTGAAGCAGCTCATAGTAGCACGTTATGCTAACACACGATCCATATTTAGAACAAAAGCATGACAGGACATATACTACAACAAACAGCAGACTGTGTTGTCCCAGTGTTTGTTCACAATATGCAGTGCACACCACTGTGCAAGTCCAGCTAAGACCTGTCTGATGGAACAGCACGTTTTAACCGAAGCCATATTACAGTGCCATAAATAAAAGTTCAAGATTACATCTAATGCAGGAGGATTGTTAGGAGAAAATAGCTGCAGCCATTGTGGAACCAATGAAGAGGAGTCGTAAGGTAATAGCACAATCAGAGATCTGTGTTCATGCCTGGGAGATTTCATCAACGAGGATCTTGCATCAGGAAGCTCACAGTACAGATGGCGAGACTTCAGCTTTTTTTAGCTCAGGGAGGGAAAAACAACTGAAATGTTCTGACATCCGTTCCAGAAAACTCTAAATCGAAAGTAACAACCCCACAGCCATTGACTCTTGGCTTCCTGAACCTAGCTGGCCAAGAACATGTACTAATGATGACAGTTCGAGACAAAGGAGATCTGGTTTCAAACAGCTGTTCCATCTTTATGTCCCTCTTCACCTGTTCAAACACAATATCATACACACAGTTTCCAAAACACACTTATTGTTATACACTGCTAGAAAATGGAAGCCTTAAATTTAACTTGGTTAAATTTAAACTTGACCCACGCAGAAACCCTCTAAAACATTAACAGCAAATCTGCAGCATAGAAAAGGAAATAAACTGAGCATAGTCTGAGCTAGTGCCGTGTTCATTTCAGTTATTATAATTATGGGGTTTTGACCTATAGCCAGTTAAAATAAATAAACAAATTTCATTATCAATAACCTTCTAATTATTTTCTTGATTAACCAATTTTACTCTAAAATGAAAACATTACCTCTTGTAATTGCTCACATCCTCAAATGTCTTGTTCTGTTCGACTGGCACACCGAAGAGGTGCAAGATGTTTTCTGTTTACTTTGATGTATGACCGGGGAAAAAAGCATCAATTCCTCACGTTTAATAAGATGGAACCAGCTCACTGATCATCATGATGACGTGAACAATCGCAAAGGTTTTTCCCACCTCTGCCCTCATTCCATAATAAGATGTGAATGCAGCAAAGGCCTATCATCTGTCACACATCAGTCACAGTCAGCCAGAGGAGGCACTGTCAGTGACAAATAACTCTTTCAATGTAGATATTGGTACATGAGCCTGTTAAAAAAACTCTGAATCTAGCCTTTAAGATGACTTTGTCACTTTTGTATTTCCCTGTGTGTGTGTGTGTGTGTGTGTGTGTGTGTTACCCATAGATACAATAGTCTATCAACTGCTCTGCTTCATACTATATGTGATCAGGTAAAAACAAAACAGTGATACACTCGATACACTCACTCTACAGTGAAATCCTATAGGCTGTCAAACACAAAGAAAGTGCTTATAAGTTCAGTAAGAAACGGTTTGCTTTGAACTCACAGATCATGTGCTGAAGGCAGGATTATTGTCTTGACAAATATGTGAGGAAACTTTTCAATATTTAATATTTAATCAACCTTCCTGCACTTTTTAGAAGACACTCGGTTCTTTAGGTCAAATAAAATAAAATACATTTTTGTACAAAACCTTCTCACAAACCATCTGCCTGCAACAATGGTACAATATGGATATAAAAACAGTATGAAAAGCCTGAGAGGGTTTTAGTCACTTTGGTCTTCTATCTATTTTTATATGTGATAATATTACAGATATTTATTCAGTTTGGTTATTTAGCAGAGGACTGTGCATGCAAACTGATGCAACAGTGGACAGCTTTGATTAAAGATGGTCTGGCGGTGTCTGCCTGCAATTATCTCCCCCTCTCTTTGTGTACATTAAGCCTGCTACGTGCCTACAACCCCTAATGGAGTGTCTGACATTCAGTGCAGGTCCTAATGCTCTGAACTTGGCCCTGAGCGTTGCCTGTGTTTTCTGTATGCAGCAAGCAAATGACTGACAGAGGGTAACACCTCCGTTCCCCGGAGTCAGGCACTGACCAGACTGACATACAGGCTCTAAAACCTCTTAAGTGGCTTTGACTGCAGCATGGAGGCTTCAGCCCTCTGGGAACTGTAGAGGTCAACGGTCTGAAAGGGGCTCACAGTAACAGTGTGTTTTAAAACCTTTTTAAAAATCCTTAAATATTATTGTTAGTGACAAGAAAATTCTTACCAAAGTTGTCATTTAAAAGGTATTTCGGGCTTTAAAGCTTCTGCTGAACTTTTAACCGTCAGAAGTCTGATCTCTCTGCCTCTCTCTCATCACTTGATTGCTCTCTCTCTCTCTTTCTCTCTCTCTATCACTCTCTCCATCAAACACACACACACACACACACACATTCATTCTTCCATTAGGAACAAAACACTACAAGGCTGTTTTGTCACTTTCTGCTTCACAGCGATTTACCCTCGGGCACTTTGTGGCTCTCAGACCAAAAGAGCAGGAGGTTAGTCTCTCTTTATCTCTCTCTCTGTTGGTTTTATGACCTCTGCCTCTAAAAGTGTGAATGTTTGTGCCGGGATTTCACATCAGTTTCGGTGATTTCCAGCAGACAGACTGTAATGACTTTCAGGTATCGTTTGCTCTCCACAGCAGTCAGTCTGTCAGTTTTCTTGTTTATGGCTTACATTTATGAGGAGCCAAACCACACAGGATTTGCTTGATAGACTCCTGCCATTTAGTGATCACATTCATGATCATTTTACTTGTCAATTATTTTTCTATTTACAGATGAACTGTTCTGTCTATGAAAACTCCCAAGATGAAGCTTTAAAAAAGGATAGTTTTATCCAAACAACAATTCAAAACCCAAACATGTTCAATTTGCAGTGATACAAACCAGAAAGAATCCAACAAAATAAATGTCATACAGTTTCCATAGAGAGTTAGGACACACTCACAGCCCTTGAGCTTGAAATAAGGTGATTTAATAATCTTAAAACTACTTAGGGGGAATTAAAATGGCAAATCATTGTGTTAAGGATTTTTAAGATTTGAGATAATTGATCAATTTATGTTGCTAATGAGTCACTATTAAGACTGTTAGATACATGCAGTGCATCCTTTATGTCGATAAGCATGCTGTACAGTAAATGCACTTCTGTGTGTATACTGTATGCATGTGCATTGCCTGTGTGTATAATTCATTCACTGAAGGCCCACTACTCACACTCTCACTTAGAGACTGCTCCTCCTCCAAGTAGGCCAGCTGGTGGCCCGAGGCTGGATTTTGGTTACAGGCAGGCAGCATGGTGCTGTGAACAGGGGGACTGGGTGTGTGGCTTTGTCAAGGCCCATCAGTGTCCTTGCTCTACTTACTCTGCCTCAAGACTTAAGGGTGTGTGTGTGTGCGTGAGAGAGAGAGAGAGTAGTGAGGGTTGGAAGCAAAAGAACATGCTGCCATAAGGGTTTTGGATGAGATGAAACATTGTGTACTGTATGTGATTTAAAAAAACAGAAGGGTTCTCATTCTGTTGAGTCTTTTATGCACTATTTAGTGTGTATATATGTGTGTGTATCATAACGTTCCTGAGGCCTTTATTACAGTCTCGTTGGCTGCATGGATTTAAAAAGGCAGAGGTCTGACTTCTCTTTCTGTGTGTGTGTGTGTATGTGTGTGTGTGTGTGTGTGTGTGCAGCTCGGCCCTGTACAAGTTGATGAATGCATGTTGGACATTTGTTGAGAAGTGACCTAAATCTGCCATCATTACCTAACAAGCGAGAAAGCAAGTCACAAATAAACACACTCAAACACACGTATGTATAAATATCTATATGCACTCTCACACACACACACACACACACACACACACACTGGAGATCATCATGCTATTTACTGTGTACACACTGCAACAGTGGATTGGGATGCTAAGCAGAAAAAAATTAACATAATGCGGTGTGTAGTGAAGTCCAACCTCCATCCTCCCTTTTGTCTGGGGCCACAAGTTCAGTCTATATCAGAATCATATTACTGTGTTCTCTGATCGCCTGCACCTTGAATCAGCTGTTTACCTTCTCACTACTGCTGGGGAAGAGATTGTCTCCATGACATCATTTATTTAGGATTACTGTAAAGTGGCCTAAGCTGAGCCCAGACCCCGCCCCCCGTGTCTGTCTGTCTGTGTGTGTGTGGGGGGGAGGATTACAAACCTTCTCCATTTAAAAGTGTGTTTTTTCCTGTTCTTATACCCCATAAACATCTGCCTTCACTGCACTGACTGGTACATGTGCAGGTTTAACCCTTGCAGACTTTTCTCACATACTGTACAGGACGTGACTGACATACATGTGCAAACAAAATTTGTGTTGCCACAAAAATCTATCCTGGTAGATATTTGTATATCTACAGGGTTCAGGGGTCTACAAAACCCGAAACCTCTGGTTCCAGAGCAGCCAGATTTCAGTGACCAGCAGGGGTGCTAAAGTCTTATCTGTTGACTGAAAAATATGCCAGAATGCAGTTTGTGGATGTAAACTGGACCCTGAAGCTTCTCTTCACTATTTATTATTTACCATTTAACATTAGTTTATGTGAAATACATACCACTCTTGCAGCATTACATTTGTAACCTAACTGTCTGTGTGCCGTTTGAGTCACCGGTACACTTTTATTCACAAAGCTGTTGTAGACAAACCTTTGTAAATTAATTCATGGAACTCATCTGTCATCCGATAATCTCAGATGCTATCTGCCTCCGTGTTCTGACAAATATGGGAAAGTAAGCCTTTGTGTTTTCTGCTCCAGAATAGTTTGCAAAGGGAAATCAAATGAACAAATTTGATATTGTTGGAAACATTTAAGAGGATTATGAGTTTACTGTTTGATTATTGATATAAATATTTTTCTTTATGTTCTTGTTTTTAACAAAAATCTTTACTGTCTGTTTTATAAAAGACTGTATACATTGTATTGCTGAGTGGTTTTAGTGTTCTTATTTGTGTTTTATTATATCTACCTTTTTAATGCTGCCATCTTGATTGGAACCCCCTGAAAAAGATTTTGCAGGTTAAACAAAGGCTAAATAACATTTTAAAAAATCAAAATAAAACAGTTACCTAACAGTTAGCTTATATTGATACCAACAACCCAGTCTCCAGGATTTCTGTATTACATTATGGATCAACTAATAAAATAAAAAGATATTGACATATTGTTCATCTCTCAGCCAGACTGTTGCTAGAGTTAACGCCAATGTAAAACTAAAACCACTGTGGCTATCTAAGCCACCAGCTACAAGCTAACAGCTAATACAAACCAGATGCTAATCACACTTACCAGACACCTGCCAGTCCCTGAGTCTGGTGAACAACTGATTCCTGATCAGATTCTGGGTCTGAACAAGGCTCTGACAAATCCAGTTGAAACTCACCAATACTACTTCCTGCCATCATATCATGACATACAGTGATTTCACTTTTGTACCTGAGGTGAGCAGCAGTGTTGAGCAGTGTGTAATGCCTGGCCTCATTTACATGTATTTGAATATTCACAACTCTTGGAATTCACAATGGAGGCAAAAACTAGACATGTCTTTAAGGACTTTTCAAAGATTTATTGAAATTTGTTTTATGGAAAAACATTGTCAGACCATATATTTTTCATAGCAGAATATTTTTGATATGCCTTAAAATGTGTTTGGAGGGGATCTTTAAGGCTTTTATGGGCCATCGGCCACTGGTGCTCCTGGTTAATTACAGACTTAAAACACGTACTCACACACATGCGTTTTCTCAGACACACACAACCAGCGTATCTCTTCCCTCTCTGGCTCTCTCTCAGTCTGTGCTGTGCTATCACCATGGCAACTGGAGATTGAGGGACTTTTCAATTCACTGATCGCTCAATTTTTGAACCTATTTCTTTCCTTCTTCTCTGTCTCACTATTATTCTGTCCTTCTCCCACAGTACCGTTATTTCACAGGTGTTTTTCCATTGTCAGTGTGCATTAATGGCCATCCAACACACACACACTAATCTGCACACAGAGGAAAAGGGTGCAGTTCTTCTCACTCAACCTCACACTTTCACTTTCCTCCCCAGGCTCTCCTAACAGTGGCTGGTGGTGTGACGCGCTAACTCTTCCTGCCCAGGATGGCTGTGTCACTGTGGTTCCTGGGGCTTTGTGTGCTCACTGTGGCTTACATCGCCCCCTCCAGCCAAGGTTAGCATCACAGCTCTGACTTGTATATTGACAGATCACGGTGGGGTGTTGATCCTGACACAGCAATCAGCAGGATGAACCACAAAAATCGAAAAGGAAACAACAGATTATGCATTATGTTAATCGAATGGCTCAAATATAATCGCAAGTATGCAAAGACATCACGCGAAGTGAAACCACTGCCTATAAACAACAGCAAAGTCATTTTAGTGAGGTTTAGAACCTACATACACATAAGAAAATATAAATATCTAAGATGTGGACCTTGCCAAAGGATGTATTTTAAAAGCTGCCTGTAACCATTCAGCACCATGGACACTGAACACACCATTGTGTTGGGTTGAATCCCATTACAGCAATGTCTGCATGATACTGAAGTAGTTGTGAACAGCTGGGCTAAGGTAATAGTAATGTGATTTTCTCCAGTAACACTGATTTAGAGATTAATGTGACAATCCAGTGAGTGCACACACGGATATGTAGCAGAGCAAGATCTAGCCTTCAAAGAAGAGAATATACAATCTTATAGTTGGCCGATCACCTGGCAACCACCAGTGTAGCTTTATTCTCCCCACTGGTTTACAAGACAAGATATTGTGATATATCTACACGTCACATCACATGTAGGTGTTACAGTGGAGAAGCCGTGTGATTTATGTGAGCAATCACACAGTTTGCAACTGGGATTCCTTACAGTCTAAGCTTTCCCATGTGTATAAAGGTTAAATTAAAGAACGAGGTGCTCACAGTACCACATGTTATGCTTATGTTGAATACCAGATATCAGATAGGAATGGGCATGATGTGTTTTTGGGCATTTGTTATGATCAGGGAATAATTAGAGTGTGTATTAATATACCTGCTCATGATCTTGAACGGGCAAATTAATCCCTAGAACAGTTATTTAATGGGGGAGCTGCAAATCTGAGCCAATAACACTGATGATGTCTTCAACTTAGGCTTTTAGACTACAAATTAATAGCATAAAGCTTCTGTTATAAAATGGGGGCATGAAGGTTGAAAGCCCTGGACATTTACCAAGCACAGAGGGGCTAACAAAAAGATCCTATTGGTTTTATTATGGGAAATGTAGGATGCAGTGTTATTTTAAGATCGATCCATACTAGAAACTGTAAGTCAGACTATCTCAGTCTCCACTGCTTCAATTATAGCTATTCTTTTAAAAATCTATTTCTTGTGAGACCCCACCTTTCCTGAAGTGCATCGCTGAATTGCTGGAATCCCCCTTTAATAATGCATGTAGGCTATAAAGCGATGAGGACATTTATCACCATCTTATTTTGCTGTCTAGGCAATTCATCAACTGGACTTTCCAGCAAACAAATGCTAATTGTTTTTAAAATCTTTTATCATTGTTCCTTTCTTCCTACTTCCACCTTTTGCCTTCTGTCTCATCTCTACAACCTCGCCTACCTCCACTCCTCATGTGCAGCTATGTCCCGAGCCGCCATGCCATTCGGGCTGCTGCGCAGGGAACTGGCGTGTGAGGGTTACCCCATAGAGCTGCGCTGCCCAGGAAGTGACGTGGTTATGGTGGAGACAGCCAATTATGGACGCACTGATGACAAGATCTGTGACGCAGACCCTTTCCAAATGGAGAACACCCAGTGTTACCTTCCTGATGCATTAAAGATTATGGCCCAGAGGTGTGTATGTGTCGGCTTACATGTCTTGGTGACCACATACTGTATTGGTATAAGAAAAAGTATATTTACAGCAGAGATGCAAATTATTTTGTCGATCGAGTGCTATTGTGAGTGTTATGGAAGCAATTCAACCAATCAATGAGACAATCTCTGGTTTCGTACATGCAGAATGTGTGCATTGAGTTCATGTCAAAGGAAACGTTAGACAAAGCCAGTGCTTGTGTTGTGAAGATGTGTCCGTGCAAATGCAATAATCGCTCCAGCTGAGGCTGAGTGCCTGGCTGCACCATTAGCTGTGTACTCGGCAGTGTTTTCCTAGAAGAACTAATCAATATTCACCAAGAGGGAGAGGATGAGTAGACAAATGGAGTGTCCTTTGCTTCCCCTTTCCTGCCTGTTAATCACTCTCCCTCCCTTCTTTTTTTTCACACTCAATCATCCCTTTCACTAATCCATCCATCCCTCTGTTGTTCTCCAGGTGTAACAACAGGACTCAGTGTGTGGTGGTCGCAGGGGTCGACGTCTTTCCAGACCCCTGTCCTGGTACATACAAGTACCTGGAGATCCAGTATGAGTGTGTCCCTTACAGTGAGTATGCATATATATAAACACACACATACACACACAGACCTGACTACACACATATACTGTATGTGTATATGCACTAAAAACACAGCAATTTAACCTGTTTTTGTTGAGCTACATTTTAGGTTTAAGGTGTAAGACGGGTTTTGTTTTGTTCTTAAAGCCTTCGATGTCACTGTTTGCCTGAGAGATTGATGGATAGAAACTTTCTTTTTCTCAGGGAGTGTTTGTGTTTGTCAAACACAAAAAGAAAGTTGAATGGATAAAGTACAGAGAGAGTAATTGTAGGAAGTTTGCATACTGTATGTCTTCTGTGTGCGTGTGTATGCCAGAGTGGGCGTATGCATGCGTGTGTTTTCTTTTTCAGATTCACTCCACAGGAGTTGCTCTCTTTTCTCCACAGGGGCCTGACTGAGGAAAGGAGAGATTGGGGGAGGTGGAGGGAGGGGAGAGGGGAGGATGGGGCAGTAGGGGAGGAGAGGAGGGAAGGGGAGTATGCTGGGCTCTCTTGTGCTTCTTCTTTCTTTTATGTGAACTATAATGTTTGTGGTGAGAATGAGTTCCAAAGTCTTTATCTGTGCAATTCTTTCTTTCTTTCTTTCTTTCTTGCTTTCTTCTCTTTACTTCCCTTCTTTCACCCTTTGACTTCTCTTTCTTTCTCTCCCTCTTTTTTCCTATGCTTGAGTAGAAGTGGACCAAAAAGGTAAAGACAATACACTGTAGCATCTTGATCTCTCCTTACCCCCGAACACCCTCTTCTCTCTCCTTCTCTTCCTCTCTCCTACCATTCTCTCTTCCTCCTACCCTAGGACGTTGTTTCGTAGTCATGCTGGATGTTGCCCCCTTTTTTCATTTCCTACTCAGTTCTCCCCCCCTCCCCATTTTATCCATCTCTCTTATATGGAACCCCATCCTTTTATCCAGTTTTATCCAGGTTCTGCACCTAGTCTTTCCTTTTTTCTCTCTTTCTTTTCTCTCTGCAGTTTCTTCTCCCTGTCTTCGTCTCTTGCTCCCGGTCGATCTCTCTGTCTCTTATTTCTCTTCCTTGGTCTCTCTGTGCACACAAATATAAACACAACTACCCACACAAACATAATCTTCTTTTTCTCTGGTCTATTTCTTTTCACACATAAACACCTCATCTATCTATCTATCTATCTATCTATCTATCTATCTATCTATCTATCTATCTATCTATCTATCTATCTCTTTTCCATTCATCCTCCTCATACTTATTTTCCCTTTTCTTCCCTTATAGGAAGAGCCCCTTATTTATCTTCATAGGAAAAATAAGACCAAATGTGTGTGACTGTATATCCATCTGGATTTGTGCTTACCAAGCACTGCTTATGTGTGTGAGTGTGCGTGCATGCCTATTTGCATGTCAGTGTGAGACTGTGTACATATGTGTCCATACAGTTATTGACATGTGGGTGGACCAGTTGTTGTGCTTGGCGTAAACTAACCTGCCCTCTCATTCACTTCAAGGCAAAATTTAGCCCTGCCTTCTGCGTCCCTGATTCTACCTCACACTCTTTTTCACTCTTTTTGCACTAACCCACACGCACACCTACACACGCGCGCGTGCACACAATCACACGAAGCAAATGAGTACACTCACATACCTTTCATTGCAGTGTCCCTGTTGTATTACTCACCACACACACACTAACAATGTGTGATTTTCTACACTGTTACATCTCTTCTCTTGCTTGCCTCTTGAGATCAGCACAGGTGTCTTAAAACCCTCTCTCTTTTTCTCTTCATTCTTTTTTCTTAATCCCACTGCATCAACTGCATCTAATTCATTCCATTTTTCATGCATCCATCCATTTTCTCTCTGCATCTGACTCCACTGTCTTTCCACTCTGTTCTCACTTTTGTCCCAACTTCTGCTCCCTCCCTCTTTTTCTTCTTTCTCACATCCTGCTATCTACCCCTCCTAACTCCCGCCTTTCAGTTTTCGTGTGTCCGGGCTCACTGCTCAGCATCCAGCCAGCCTCCTCGCTCCTGGAGGCGGAACATCAGTCGGGGGCATGGTGTAAGGACCCGCTGCAGGCTGGTGACAGGCTGTATGTCATGCCGTGGACACCATATAGGACAGAGGTGCTCTATGAGTATGCCTCCTGGGATGACTACAGGCAGAATAGAGCCACCACCACCTACAAGTGAGTAATGTCAAACTGTTGCAGAAACAATTGAATAACTGGATAGTTAGTGAAGATGTGACCTTATTAAAGGTCCTAAAACATGGTATCAAATACTCAGTATATCTTTGTCATACTGTGCTTTGATATTGTTTATGACTAGTATTTATTCTGCTTTAGCCATTAAATGTGTTTACACTCAGTGGTGGAGTTCACCATTCCTGAGCTACTTTCAAATGGCATATCATCAAGAGATCCACAGGAAAACTATGCATGTAGCAAATTGTGTTTCCAGCCTGCAGTGAGAAATAAACAAGTCATCTCTAATGGACCTCCTGGACATGTATTAGCATTACCACAGGGGCCACAGGTGTCACCAAAAAAAGTTATTTAAAAAGTAAAACATCCTTAGACAATATTAATATTTTAACACACAAAACTCTGCTAATCTGCTTTATCAGCACTGTAGGTGTGATTTGATCAGAACTGAGCAGAATCCTGATTGGTGCACTTCAGTATGCAACATCACATGTTCTACTTTCAGCCTGGTCCCTCACACTTCATACTATTAAGAACAGGCAAAATATAAAATATTCCCACATTTTCCACAAACAGCTTGTGAAATAATTAAACAGTTTTGACAGAAAATGTGTTCATCTAGGACACTACCGCTGTATTCTCTGAAGCTGAATGAGAAAATGGGTCTAACTGACTTGCATGCTAATGAAAAAGTTGAAATGTACACATAGACTACATAGTTTCTATCCTCTGTCCTAGGCTGCCCAGCCGTGTGGACGGTACAGGCTTTGTGGTGTATGACGGTGCTGTGTTTTACAACAAAGAGCGAACGCGCAATCTGGTCAAGTATGACCTACGGACGCGCATCAAGAGCGGCGAGGCAGTGGTGGTCAATGCAAACTACCACGACACCTCGCCTTACCGCTGGGGAGGGAAGTCAGACATCGACCTGGCGGTGGACGAGAACGGCCTCTGGGTGATTTACTCCACTGAAGCCAATAATGGGCGCATTGTGGTCAGCCAGGTAGGAGAAATAACAACAGGCCAATGATTGGAAAGAAGGAAGGGTTTATCATCTTTTCACACCTTTCCTGTTTTGCAGGTGAACCCCTACACCCTGCGTTTCGAGGGTACGTGGGCCACCGGCTTTGATAAACGTGGGGCGAGCAATGCCTTCATGGCGTGTGGCGTGCTCTATGCTGTGCGCTCCGTCTTCCAGGATGATGAAGGGCAGGCAGACGGCCGGGTTGGCAGCGACATGGTGGTTTACGCATACGACACCAGCCGTGGACAAGAGCTGCCCGTTCAGATACCATTCCCCAACCCTTACCAGTACATTTCTTCTATAGACTACAACCCCAGAGACAACCAGCTGTATGTGTGGAACAACTACTACGTGTTGAGATACCCGCTGCAGTTCACACCGCCACCACCCACTAAAGGTTTGTGGAACCTTATTATTATTATTGTTGTTTAAATAATACATTCATGAAATGAAGCCATTTTCACACGAGTGGCAACGTTATTTTCTATCACCATCTTTGCTTAACTGAAAAGAAACTGATTAAAATGATATTTTTCCTGCTCTGGACCAGAGTATTTTTCATTCCACATCGCTAAAAGAGTCTATGAGGATTTGATTCAGAATTCGGCTGCGCGTTATGAAATGACAGTACAGGGTTGAAACGTCTCAATGGAAGATGAGCTCCGTGGCTCAAGTGTATGTAATACACGAGAATCACAAACTGGTGCTAATGAATTTAGAGAGTAAATTGTGTTTTCGTCCCTCCAGGTCCCCTCTCCTCTTTGATGACAACTGTCCGCTCCTACACAGCTACCGTCGCGCTGGCCCCAGTGCGGCCTTCAGCCTCTCACCCAATTGGTGTCATCAATCGAGGGCCCTTCGACCAGCGGCCGATCACAGCCATGGTTCCTCTGACGCCACGTCCTCCTTTGCGTATCCCCTTGGCTCCTGGAGGCCCCGGGCAGGTGGGCGGATGTGAAGGCCGTGTGGCACGTGGGGTGCAATGGCCCCCAACCCTGAAGGGAGAGACAGTGGAAAGGCCCTGCCCTAAAGGCTCACTGGGTAGGTGTGCCACATCTGTGTGTGTGCGTGTGGTATTTGCATGCCTGTGTCTGTATCTCATTTCCCTTTGAAATGTAGTAGAGTGTCCTCCCTTTGAACCTGCCTGAGAGAGAAGGAGAGAGAGAGAGAAAGGTTATGGTGCTGAGAGAAGCTGGGCTCGTTAACTCTTCCTCTCGCTGTGCACCTATCTTCCTCAGCCCAGCGTCCCCTCTGTAGAGAAGCTGTGTTACAGATTATGTTGATAGGACTGCGGCGTGCCTGGTCCTAATCATGTTGAATGGTGTGGACATGGGTTTAGCACAGAGGTGATGATTACACTGGGGATTTAATTGTGATTCTAACTGAAAACAACTGTGGGTGTTGTCTTAGACCTGATTTGCAGAGCTGCTGTGTGTAACAGGTGATCTAGCAGTTTGTCATTATGTATTTTGTAAACAAAACAAAAATTCTGTTATTTTTCTTTCATGCATGCAACAATCAGTTAAAACACTTAATTGGCAATTATCACCCATTGTTGTTCTACTGACTTTTTAAGCCTCTGTTAGTTTTTTATTTTTATATTACATTGCTTGTTCAATCTCATCATTCTCATAAACCAGCCATCAGCGTGACTAGCTGGTAAACATTGTCTAACTAGCTAAACGAACTAAAACTACTGAGATAACTCTTTAGTCAGGAGTTGATAAAGACCAAAACAAAACTAAAGAGAGTGAATACTGGACTGATATTCATCAGGCCACTAGAAACTCGCCACTACTTGAATATTAAAGATGTACTATGCTTGCTGTATGTTATATCAGCAGTTTTTTGCTAATAATATAAAATGATCATATGTTCAAGGTCTGTGTTTTTACTTTATAAATCTTACCCAAGTGGCCAAAAAATCTATTAGTGCAGCTTAATTTCTTTTAAATAATAGCTACAAATAAACCAAACACTACCATTAGTATGCATTCCTTGATTCCAACAGACACGTTTTCAGGATGTTTGCTTTTAGAAATCTTTTTTCCTGGTTTCACAGTTTATGCGGTTGATCTATCTCGTTACTGTCTGCTGCTACAAACAGATTATTCGGGGCTACATATAAGGGTAAAGGTTGTATGGGGAAAGACATACAAGGAGAAACAGAAGTGACAAACCAGCTCAGGTCCCGTAAAACACGGGCAGTCTTTTCTTTTTCTGGCTGTCTGTGTCAACCTGTCTGTCTCTGCAGGTATAGCGTCCTATCAGTGCATGTCATCTCCAGTAGGCTGGAGCTCCAGAGGGCCTGACCTTTCCAACTGCACCTCTCCCTGGGTTAGCCAAATTGCACAGAAGGTTAGTCTCACACAGATAGGCACACACACACTGTGCAAACGCCCCAAAGCCAGTCAGCAAGCAGTTCTCTCTTAAATGTCAAAATATTTGACATTATAAACACCCCCACCTCACTCCAGATTAAGAGCGGGGAGAACGCAGCCAACATCGCCGGGGAGTTGGTCAACCTGACCCGTGGCCGGATCTATGCCGGCGACGTGAGCATGTCTGTCAAGCTCATTGAACAGCTATTGGACATCCTGGACTCCCAGCTTCAGGCCTTGAGACCAGCCAATAAAGAGTCAGCAGCACGCAATTACAACAAGGTAAATTGTTGCTGTTGTCAGTGTGGATGTGTACTTGACCTTTCCTGGAAATGAAAGTGAAAATGTCACAGACAATGATGATGGATGTTTTAATGGTTTTCTTTTTTCAGCTTCAGAAGAGGGAACGCACATGCAGAGCTTATGTTCAGGTAAGATAGATAGATAGATAGATAGATAGACAACATTACAGTGAATTTAATAAGAATAAAACATTTTGTCTCTTTCTTCTTCAGGCGGTCGTTCAGATAGTTGATAACCTGTTGGGTCCTGAGGCTCTGGTGTCCTGGGCTGATATGAGCAGTGTTGACCAGTCACACTCAGCATCACTGCTATTAGATGCAGTAGAAAAAGGAGCATTTCTATTGGCTAACAACCTCTATGAAGGCAGATTCAGTGATCGAGCACCAAATATTGGCAAGTGGCCTGTCTGTTTCTTAGCTGTTTTGTTCTACATATTGTAGAAATTACCATCTCATCCAGACTTGCTGTGCATGTTTGTTCCTGTGTGTGCACAGATCTGGAGGTGTATGTACTAAATACAGAAGCAGACATACAGGACCTGACGTTCCCTCACTCCTACGACAGCGACAGTATCTTGCAGATATCAGCGCTGGCTCTGCAACAGTACAGCAACAACGGTGACATAACAAAACTAATCGACATTTTGTACACGTAGATCTAAGTAAACATCATATAATTAGAAAACCAGGGGCATGTCCTGTGATGGGCTGTGGAAGTAATGCTGTTTTTTACATATATCAAAATTTCAAACCTAATAAAATAGGAAATAGCTGTCTAAATGTTTTGTCTTGAATGTAAAAGACAAGTCCTTGTATTCACTATGCCCACCTCCTCCCTGTAGGCCAGGTGAAGCTGGTCCTCTCTCTCTATAAGAATTTGGGCTCCTTCCTGACTACCCAGAACTCAACTCTGCGGCTCGGGCTGGGACTGGGCCAGGGCTCCGAGGTCAGACGGAAGAGCCTGGTGGTCAACTCTCATGTCATTTCTGCCTCTGTGCACAGAGGATCCAACAGAGTGTACCTCTCCGAGCCAGTGATCTTCACTCTCAGACACCTGCAGGTCTGTTTGGTCATTTTGACCACAAAATTTATATTTAGAATCTGCATATTCCATCATTGTGCATAATCTGCTCCTTTAAAAACACCAATATGGGTTTTTGGTGTGTATTTTTCCTTTTTCTGCACAGCTGGAGAACCACTTTGGCCCCAACTGCTCTTTCTGGAATGCATCAGGGGTTTCTGGGAGTGGCAGGTGGTCTACTCAGGGCTGCCGCCTGTTGCACACCAACAACACACACACTACCTGTGCCTGCAACCACCTTTCTAGCTATGCTGTCCTCATGACGTACCAGCAACCTGCTGTAAGTAACACACACCACAAAAACAACATGGGCAATAGTGTTTAATTCAACTTCACAGCAGAGACAACCTGCTCTCAGCACTGAAAACAGCTGTGCACAGGGTTGCTTTTTTGCATTTATACATACAGTAGGCGGTCATACAATCAGGAGTTTAAACGGTCAGTGTCCCTCTTCACAGTTCTCTATAGCTTTGTAAATCCCCCTCCATCCTAGATCAAGAAAAATTTTCTGACTCCACCTGTGTGCACCCATTTGCTATGGCACAGTTAGACTTCACTCCAGCAGTGTTCTCCAAAAAGCTGTTTAAAAATCGAGCGCAGAGGGGGTGATAATTGTGGGTTGTAGCTGTAATAGAGAGAGAGAGAGATTGAGATAGATGGGGTGATAAATGCTGCCAGATATTTTTCCTGTCATGAACCTGAATTAAGCATTTCTCTATGGAGTAAGATGCTCATTTTGTTAGGTATGATTTTAATCATTTCACATGGACACATGAACACTCCCCTCTGCAAAATACATCCACATACAGTATGCTCACAATCCTGCAACAACACAAATTCTTTCACTTGTGCATAAAAAATGTTATTTAATCTCTTTGCACATTCTTTCTGGTATGCTTCTCTGTAAAAGTTTGGCGGTGCTGTAGAAGAGCTTCTGGTCTATGTGGTTTCCTGGGTTGGCATCTCTGTAGCCCTGGTGTGTTTGGCCACCTGCCTTACCACCCTGTGCTGCCAGGGGGCGCCCTGGCACACAGACCACAGCACCATCCACTGCAACCTGTGGGCCAACCTGCTCATAACTGAACTGCTCTTTCTGGTCGGTGCCAACAAGATTCAGTACACAGTGAGTGCTTAGATGCTGCACTAATATAATACAGAGTAGTTAAATACTGGGAAAGACTAACAGTATATACTAGCGAGAATAATACTGGAGTATCATATTTTATTTTGTAGGGTTTGTAAAAATACTGTGTAAATGTGTAAATTGTTACTGTCCTCCAACCGTTCTGTCACTCCATATCTTGACCCCCTTTTTAAATCCATATTTCCAGGTTGTGTGCTCCATCATTGCTGGCCTGCTGCACTTCTCGCTGCTCGCAGTGTTTTGCTGGTTGTGTCTGGAGGGGGTGGAACTATACCTGCTGCAGCGGGAGGTATTTGAGGGGCGTAACTCCAGAAGGAAGTATTTCTACCTGTGTGGCTACTCAATTCCTGGGCTAGTGGTGGCTGTGTCCGCAGCAATAGATTTCAGAGGCTATGGCTCAAAAACTGCGTAAGTTGGCTAATGCGTGTGTCTGTCTTTGTTTGTATACACAGTTTTGGATGAGGACAGTTACTTTCCAACATCTGTATATTCTTGTTTCATCTCTCAGAATGATGGAGGTTCTTATCTTCTTGTGATTTGTTTGTGCATTTTTGTCTGGATAGATGTTGGCTACGCACAGACAATTATTTTATCTGGAGTTTTCTTGGCCCAGTTGCTGTCATCATAACGGTGAGCATCTATGCTCACAGCTATCATCCTTTTCATGTTTCCTTTCTAATCAACATGATGTTCTAACATCATGTTGGGTCATTATTAATGAATGAATACTAAACTGTTTGATATCTGTCCTCGTGGCCTCAGTTGAACCTGGTCGTCTTGGTGATGACCTTACATAGGATGCACAGCACTGCTGCTCTGAAGCCAGATTCCAGTCGCCATGACAACCTGAGGTTAGTACAGTGTGTCACACTGATCTCCTGTGCGTGATTATGTGTAGAGCCCATTGTGTTTCAGGAACTCTGGCTCCATTTATGCAGTCAGAAAAATATCATTAAGTTGAATTAATAGACTGAAAAATAACCAGTTTAATTAAAAAATGAACTTGTGTTTTCCCCCAACTTCCTATCCATTTAGAATTTTTAAATTGTATTGTTAGAGCTTTCATAGTTTATGCATAATGCAGTACAATAGCCAAAACCATGATTAAACCAGATGTAAACAGTGAATGAGAACTATCAAAATGAATGTTTCTTGAAGTGGAGTCTGTTATCTATGAAGAAGCTAGTCTGATTAGAGAGTTAATTAAAATATTTAAATCCTAGCTGAGGCGGGGGGCTGATGTAAATGACATAAAACGTGCAACACAGTCTTTCATCTGTCTCTGAAAGCATTTAGCTAATCAGCAGCATTTTGAAACGGTTCAACTCAAGCAATCACAGCTTTGAAAAACCAGGATAAAATACACTGCAGAGTTTAAAGCAGCATGAACTTAATAAGTTCTGCATCATTTTGAGTAAGAAAAGGTCAACCCTGAGCAATGCTGTATGTGTGGAAAAATACAGGGAACAGCCTGCATTCCACAAAGGACAAAAGGAGGGTGTGTATTACTAATGTTCAGCAAGTAAAAAAAGAAAGAATTTGCACAACCACATCTGTCAAAATCTCAGTTGTTTCACTTTCAACATTAAACACAAGAGAACTTGCTGATAGGTGGCCTTCAGATCAGTTTGGGTGTGTAAACTGACATAAGTTACATGTTCCTTGGCTCTTTTTTTGTTTGGTTTCACTGCCTTGTGAAATTAAAATGTAGGTGAATCTTCTCCACTCTGAGTGCAGCTGAAAAACATAGTTAAAGGTTCTCTCTAATGCAAGCAAACTCTTGCTGAACTTGTTTGTCAGGGGAAAAAAGTGATTTTCCCTGTGTGCTCATCCAGGGCGTGGGCAGTAGGCTCCCTGACGCTGCTCTTCCTGCAGAGTGTCACCTGGTCCTCAGGCCTGATGTTCCTATCTGCCCCGTCTCTCCTCCTGGCCTACCTCTTCTCTTCCCTCAACACTGCCCAGGGCCTCCTCATCACTATATTGCACTGCAGCCTCGCCAGGAAGGTCAGTATGTTTCATTTTGTAACCAAAGGGGCCTGTCAGCATTCATGACTAAACTGATGGGTTTTTGTTTGAATACCGCATGTAGGGTCAGAAGGACTACGGCCGATGTCTGCGTCTCTCGCAGTGCTGTGCAACTTCCTCTTCCAGCTCTCCAGACTCGGTGAAGGGTGCTGCGCTGCGGTCCAACAGCCGCTACACCAGCAGCCAGAGTCGGAGAGCCACCGCTAACAGACAGGTACTCTACAATACACCACACCTCTCTCTCTCTCTCTCGTTCTTTATCTCTCACTGTCTGACTCAGTTTTGACCTTGTGTGGGTTATTTCTATTCCAGAGTCGTATCAGGAGGATGTGGAACGACACTGTTCGCAGACAGACTGAATCGTCTTTCATCGCTGCAGATGGTAACAACACTCCTACTCTTAATCGAGGTGAAGCTCATGTTCATTTGTCTTTTAAATCTCTGCATTGTTCCTTCTTTGGACCAAGAATGTAACATGTACTTTTTCTCCCTCTCTGCCTTTTCATTCTAAGCTGCTTTGGGGAACCATTTCCTTACTAATCCAGTGTTGCAGACTCATGCCGGAGCCTCTCCTTATGACACGATGCTGGCCCAGGGATACAATCAACCCTTCACATCCACAGGTACTTCTCATTACAGCATTTTGCAACTCTTCCACTGAACAGCTGTGTCTAATCTTCCCAACACAACCTACTATCCTTCTTGAAGTTGGTATCTTTGACAGTCAGCGTGGGCCATGCATAACTCTTATGGCACACTGAAAAATGTCTCTGTTAGCCCTGTGCTGTAAATATCGGGGAAAGGATGTTGGCGAGGTAAGTGCGTTGACTTATTAAACAACTTGCAGCAGCAAAGTAACAAAAAGATCCATTCAAACAATAAATATTCTGCAGTAGGTCTCTCTGGTTTCTTGTGTAAAAGATGTACAGATTGCAACTGACAATAAAGTTTTACTGTTTGTCTTCCTTGTGCTGTCTTTCTTGAATAGAACCAGACCAATGCTAGGGTGTACTGCTGGGGGGCAATACAGATGTCAGTACTGGAAAGTTTTAAAAAGGCAATGATGATCTCTCAACAGATATTCATTTATATTCCTTCATGCCAGCAACAGCTGCAGCCGCAGGCTTTATGTTTTTTGGTTGTCCTTACATCCAGCCCATTGTTATGAACACAATACATGTTCTCAGGAACGCCTTGACAGAATTTCTTCAAATTTGTCACAAATGTCCACTTGAACTCAAGGATGAACTGATTAGATTTTGGTGGTCAAAGGTCAAGGTCACAGTGACCTCACATCTGTCCCCTTCCTGTGAATCTTTATTATGTGAATTTTCATAAGTGTTCTAAGACTTTTACACAGCACAGCTTGTCAAGTTTCTGCTCCTGTGCAATATGAACGTTTGGAATTAAAAACTGTTTTTGTTTTTGCCAGTGTGTCATTTTGTTTGTAGTTTTTAAGTTTGAATTGTTTGTCTTTTAAATGTTTTTGACACTTTCCTTCTCTGTCTCCTTTTCTTAATGTGGACCAGTAGGAACCTTCAGAAACAAGCCGAGTATGAGCTTTTTTATTGTACTATGAATCACTGAGCGCTACCTCTTCCTCGTGCTGTATGCTTCAGTTCATAGATTGCCTGTGCAATATTTGCACACAGTAACTATGCATAGACCATGAAGGCATAATATACATCTTCTCCATGGGATTACACACCAAACATTTTGTCAAGGAAAGTTGATAATACCCAGATTTTCATGGAAAAACCATGCTGTCAAGTAGGCACAGGAACACTTAACTCTCCCCATTCATTCATAAATTCATTCATTCATCTCTTCATGTAAATCTTTGATTGTATCCCTGTCTTTCTCTAACTGGCATCCTCCTGTTTCTCCCAACAGAGGGTGGTGTGTCCCAGAGCCAGGAGTCCTGCGGGTTGGACAGTGTTTGTCTCAATGGAGGCTACACCCCCAACACCTTCACTCTGCATGGGCTGGGCACTACACCCGGGTCCCGAGCTGGAGTGGTGGGCAGCGCCGACCTTCTAAGGGAGGGAGCAGTTGGGATAGGAGGGGATGACATCTCCCCAGCCCTCCTCACCCCCCACGGGGCTGCAGATCTGGGCAGCGGTGCTGGAATGCGTCGCAACCTGTCTGATGCAGCTGCACTGGAGAAGATGATCATCTCAGAGCTGGTGCAGAGCAACCTGAGACCCTCTGTCCCCATGCCTGTTCCTCCAGAGCGCTACGGAAGCCTGGCAAGGCCTCACCTGCATGACAGGGCGGCTCTCACTCACACTGCCACTTTAACTCGACATGCACAGCCAACCCAAGAGGGTTGGGCTGCCACCATGCAGCCAAACACGCGCCACAATGCACAAGAGGGCTGGTCACATACAAGGCACCTCACACAAGACGCTGAGACACATTCTACATCATGTGAACAAGACCACGCCACAACGCCACGCTTACAAGATGGCTGGTCACACTCACATGTTTCTGGAGATTCAGAGTCCCGTGACCTACTTAAAGACGGGGACAGGTCGCAGCTGCAAGGCACTCTGGGTCGCCGCGGGCTTCAGGACAGGCAGCAAGCACGTCCCCCTGATGTTCAGGCCCGGCTCTACTCCACCCTCAGCCGCACCCCTGGTACTCTGTCTCGCCACCATGGCACAGTGGAGTCAAGTGGAGGGGCGGACAGAGAGAGAGAGAGAGACAGGGAGAGAGACCGAGATCGTTACCGGGACAGGCCCCTCCCACCTCCTCCTCCCCCTCCCCCACAGGAGTCTGAGCCACTGCTGATGAAACAGAGGGAGGCAGGAGTAGAGACATGGAGAGGCGGCCAGGACAGAGAGAAGGATGAGACATTTCTCTTAAAAAGAGATCCAATGATGGACGGATGGAGGGGAGCGGCTGAGAGAGGGAGGGATGAGTCTTTTACCTCTCAGAAGAGAGATGGCGAGATGGACGAATGGAGAGGTGGCATGGATAGAGGGAGGGAAGAACCTCATCTCCTGGACAAGAGAGATGGAAGAATGGACGTGTGGCGAGGAGGGGGAGAGACAGAGCAAGAAGAGACTTTTATAACTCAAAAGAAAGATTTTGGGATTGATGGATGGAGAGGTGGGATGGAGAGAGAGAAGGAAGAGTCCTTGTTTTTAAAAGAAAGAGAAGGATGGAGAGGAGGAATTGAACGAGACAATGACAAACAGAAGGATAGAGCACTGGATGTGTGGAGAGGAGGGATGGATATAGACAGGGAGGAGTCTTTCCTGTTTGACAGCAAAGATGGAGGCCTAGATGGGAGGAAAAGAGGGAAAGATAGAGGGTCCCTTCGGTATCATGCCGAACGAGAGGATTCTGACAGCTTCACTTTGCCTTTGACTCCTGATCTTGACCTTGACCACGACTCTTCACCAATCTACGCCAGAGATTCAAACCCCTCCCCCCTGTACCCTGGAGACCGCCGCTCGCCACCACTGAGTATATTCCCCCGAAGCTCTCCCCCAACAAATATTTTTGCTCCACGAGACACCAACTCACCAACCAACAATCTCTATTCTCGCCACTCGCCCCAGGTGTACAGCCGAAGCAGCTCCCCTCCTCGTTTCTACACCCGCACCTCCCCTCCGACGCTGTCTTACCCGGACAGCAGCCCTGAAGGTTTAGAAGAGGTCAGCCCCACTGGCCAGCCCCAGCGGCCCGCCCTGGAACTGCCCTACAGCCTGGGGCGACCCCCACTGGGCCCACGACCCAACCACTTGCAGACCTTCTACCAGCCGCCGCCGGCATCCAATGGAGAGGCAGCATACACAGCAGAGCCCACCTCTGAGGGAGATGATGGACAGATGCAGCGCGTGACGAGCCTGTGACTAGGGCGGTGGTGATCGGGGCATAGAAACCAGGGAGGAGAAGGAAGATGGTGATAACAACAACATAAAACAATGCTCAAACTGATGGAAATGATGATGATTAAGATGCTAAAGAGGATAATGATGATGATTATGATTGTAATGATGATGACAGTGATGGCTCCTCCCTGCTTCTATCTCCCGATCACCACGAGACTCCCCCTTTCCATGTTTTGTTACTTTTCTATGACTGTGATCCATTTATAACTTTTCCTCTTCCGCTCCCTCTCCTCTCGTTTCCTGAAACCCTGCTGTGTCTTCCCACCTCATCTGTGCTTATATCCTTATTGGCCTATCATCTAAGTTTCTATTGGATCATCGCCTGGGTGTTGCCCCTCCCTGTAACAAGCAAACAGTGTGTCCAAGAAGCACTTGTGTGTTGCCAAAAAAATCATTTCAAAGACCATGTGCATGACTTTATAGTGGATTTACAAGGCTACATACTGTAGGAGGAAAGCGCTGAAATGTGTGTGAGCGTACATGCGAGTGTGTGTGAAGCTTGAAGAGCATGCGTGTGTGCAAGGGTGTGCTGTGTGTGTGCGTGTATATACATCATTCTTGTATAATTAATGTATTACAGTGAAGCATTTTATCACTATCAACCGGGGGGCCTCTTACACACATCCCGTTCTACTGGTTTTCAACTCTTGACCAGTCTCATTTCAAAACCGAAACTTCCACCCGCCTCCCCTCTACCTGCCACTAACTGCTGGTGATGGGACTCGCTGCCATGGAGTTTGTCACAGCAACTGAACTGTTGACTCCAGAGCCAGAGATCATATAAAACCTCTGAACTTTTCTGCAACCCCCTGAGATCCTTGTACATACCGACCTCAAGTGTTCTGATTGTCTTGTATTGCTATTGAAGTTCAAGTAAACATGTGAATAATGTCAGTGTTTCTGTCGTTGTGTTTGTCTGGATGTACAGAGGGACGCAGGCTGTGAGGAAAATTACACGTATACAGTAGAAAAGGTTGGAGAAGAGATTCTGAAGAAGGGTAACTGAAAATAACTAAATTAAACAGCAGCCAGAGTGATAACAATCCTGTGGTAAAATATTACTATTTACATAAACTCAATTACCATACTTCAAGTACTTGTACTTTACTCAAGTATTCTTCCATTTCTGAGGCAGGTATTGTACGTTTTACACCACTACATTTACTTGACAGCTACAGTTACAGTTCACACAACCCCCAGTAGTTTTAAAAATCCATGTTACACATTAAATGACCCAACAGTATATAATGTGATTACAACTAGATCTGTACTTCCTCCACTTCTGTTGATAAAAGAAAAGGATCATTTTAAATGGAATGGGTCCCTAAATAGCTTTGGCATCCTTAGAAAAGAAAAGCATGAGCACTGAAAAACAGTAAAGGTTCAGAGTATTAAACATAAGACAGGACCAAAAAAAAAGTAGTCCACACATTTATTGAATTATTAAAGCTATGGTTAATACATTATTCAGTTGAACTGCAGCTGTGTGAATGTAAATTACAGGTAATAAATATGACTAAAGCTGTTTGCCTGCTTAAGGTATTTGCTTAAAACTTCATTTATTCATACAACCCCAAATCAGAAAAAGCTGAGACAGTATGTAGAACCAAAACTGAAAATAGTGATTTATAAATCATCTGTGTCCTGTATTACACTGAAAACAATTCAGCAGCACATTATCTGATGTGATACCTCATCAATTTTATTTTTTGTTCAAATGGTCAACACAATCCAAAAAGCATTGTATTTATTTACCACGGTGTGATGTTGCTGTTCCTTTTCAGAACACTTACGATATTTAAGGACTGGGGACACCAAGTGATTAAATGTGTCAGGTGTCATTTTGTTCCATTCTTCCAGCAAACAAGTCTTAACGTGCACAACATTCCTGGGCCGTCGTTGACGAAATTTGTGTTCCAAAATGCGCCACACATTCTCTACTGGGGACAGGTCGGGGCTGCAGGCAGGCCAGTCCAACACTCACACCCTTTTCCTCCACAGCCAGGCCTTGGTAATGTGCAGTATGAGGTTTAGCATTGTCTAGTTGAAATATGCATGGGCGTCCCTGGAAAAGATGTCGTGTTGAAGGTAGCATATGTTGCTCCAACATCTCTCTGTACTTTTCAGCATTAATGGAGCCACCTCAGAAGTGTAAGTTACCTTTGCCAAGGGCATTGACACAACCCCAGACCATGACAGACCCTGGCTGTTGGACTTGTTGCTGGTAACAGTCTGGATGGTCCTTTTTGTCTTTGATCTGGAGCACACGGCGTCCATTCCTTCCAAAAAAGACCTGAAACACTGATTCGTCTGACCACAGTACACATTTCCACTGTGTGATGGTCCATCCCAGATGCCTCCGAGCCCAGAACAGCTGGACACTGTTGACATAGGGCTTCCTTTTGGCACAGTTTGATTTATGTTCTTCACCGTGGAGGGCGACATATCCAAATCCCTTCCTATCTTTCTTTGATGAACATTGTTTTTAAACATTTCAGTAATTTTCTCATGCATGTGTTGGCAAAATGAGTGTTCATTTTGAACAATGAATAAAATTTACGAGGTATTGCATCAAATAATGGGCTGCTGTATTGTTTTCACTGTAACACAGGACACAGATGAATTACACGTCACCATTATCAGTTTAAATTTAGATTTTACACACAGCCATAACTTTTTCTGATTTGATGTTGTATTTACTCTACAGTTTATATGAAAAATAGATCAAATGGCTGTGAGTAATGTGAAATGTCCACTGTAGTGATAAACTCACAGAAAATAATCACTCTGCAGTTCCCTCAGCTGTATAGAGTACTTTAGCATCTTTCAGCTCATGTTTTGGTTTTACTGCCTGCAGTTTAAATAGTTGGGTTTTGTCTCGTTGCATCCATCAAATATGCTTCTAGTAGCTGCTCTGCATGCTAACCCACTGCACGCTGGCTGCTCACTTTGTATATAAAGACCAAAACAAAAGAATGAATACTGGGTGCACATTCATCGGGTGACCAAAAGCTCATCTGCAAAGAAGTGAATATTTTGATCTGTCTGATGGTCAACTGGTGATAAGGCTTCTGTTATGAATTTCAGGAAATACAATAATAATCAATTACACACTAACATTTTTTTAAAATGTCAAAATGTGTGTGCATGAGTCCTGCTTTAGTAAAAGCTCACAAGCTGAGCTAAAAACGACACATTTTTAAAAAATAAAATCACTTTCATCTTTAATGCTCTGTGTGCACTTGGACTGGTAAGTAACCTATAGCAGCAGTGTACTGTTCTGTCATGGATTACATCACAGCACATTTGTGCTCTTTGTGCTTTACTTCAACACGTTTACATTCACTGTGTTTATGTGAAACAGCAGCTACAACGCATATCACAACTATGCATAAAACATATTACATCCTATGCTGGGGTGCATCCCGATGATTGCCTTCTCCTCCTTATTTATACCACTGACAGACGCTCAAGTTTTGCTGGAACATTAACAGAGTAACGCAGACTGTACATGTTGGTAGAATGCTACCCTGACAGACACTGTGCGTTTTGGCTTGACTCTACCACACTACCTACGCGCTACGCTCATTTACACTACACTACATATCCAAGTACCGTACTTTCCCATGTTATGTTCTTTTGATACTTTGTGTTCTCTTTATTTACCTGCTACCGTCATGTTTTTCCCCCTAGCACCTGGGTCTGCAAACTTGAGTCCCACCTCAGTCCTCCCTCACCCTCCTGGTGAGGGGGGCTACCATAACACTATGTGGGCTACCAAACCCTTACATAGTGGTAATTAATAACACTAACATGGAAATCTAAAAGTGCATTTACAGTATCATTTAAGTTGTTTAACAAAGTTACTTTGTTTAACAAAGTTATTTTAGGTAACGTCTAGCACTGCACTGGCAGCTCTGTATTCAGTCTCATCAGCACAGGTAAGTATGATGAAAAGTTGAGCACTCAAGCTGATCACACAACACTTGAGCAATATATAGTAGTTTCAGCACCCTCTCTCTTACTGTCTTTCTCTGAAGCTCTACTCTCTCTCTAGACACTCTGTCTGAATACTGAGGTATGTGGTTTGACTTCACAGGAAATGGTCTCACATTCTTCAGATCTCTTGTCTGTCCAAACCAGTTGCTACACACAGATAGTGGAGAGGAGGTTTAGCAGACAGTATGGTGGGGTGACAGGGGGGTGTCCAACATGTCAGTAGGAGACAGAGCTGACCTGGAGGTTTTAAACATGGATGAAATGTGGAAGGCCTGAAAACACAAAAGACAAAACATACCCATTTTAAGACTCATAACACAAGGACATTCACTGGTGCACAAAAACAAGCAGAACTGTTATACTGACCACCCAGTAAGCAGTGAGGGCCCCCTGTATGTAGCCTGTTAGCACGTCAGACGGGTGGTGCCTGTAGTCTGAAATACGGGTCAGACCTGTGTAGACTGCCAGCAGAACCAGGAAAAACTGCAGCACAGGCCTCAGCAGCCTCGCCCCGTGCCACGTCAATCGCGCCTGCAGGTAAAACTGACAAAAACACAAAATGTTATTTAGTGCATAGAACAATATGGCCACCATCACAGCCTTTATTTCTTATTTTGCCCATTATAATAAATGTATTTCACCCTGTAGTAGCTAAGCAACTCCATGTTTTCTGATCTTCTCAGGCTGCTTGCATGTGCTCTGCTGCTATGACTCACGGTTTCTAACACAAATACACAAATCACTAATGCCTGTCACTGGCAAGTACTTAAATATGGCTTTTTTGTAGAACTGACAGTAGGCTAAATGCATTAAGATGTAAATATAAACAGAGGTATGACAAATTAATGGATGAATGAATAAGTGCAGAGATATGCATATGTAAAATATGTATGCATCCACACAGGACAATAGGGATCACTGAACAGTTTGATGAGAATGTCAATCATATGCTGTGCTCTTCACAGTCACCGAATCTCACTCTAATTAAATACCAACATATGTAGGAGTACGTTTTGGATGAACGGCCTTTATCCCTGCAGTAGACAGAGACTTGGAGCACTGAACCTGGAGGAGGCTCATGCTGGACTAACGTACTAAGATGCTCTATGTTTATTTTAACATGAATGTGTTACCCATCTATATGAAGGGCAAGACTTCCCTCCGGATTCATGAGATTGGGTACAGTATATCAAATATGTACTAATAAAGGGATTCATCCACCTTCTGATATCATTTATTATTATGTAAATAAAGATGAACCATCTTGTTGGTTGTCGGTAAATCATTAAGTCTTTCTTCTTCCTTCTCATTAACTGTGGTAGAGTACTATACAGCATGAGGAAGGGTAACAATTTGAGCAAGTAATCAAAAACAAGCAAGCAAAGATTGCATACATGCACACACACATGTAGCATGCACACATTCACATTTGAAAAGCTGGCATATACAAACAGGATTTCACACACACATACAGCATACACAGTATATACAGCAGTAGCTTACATATACAAACATGCAGACACACACACACACACACACACACACTCATACAGTAGAGGAGAGCAGTGAGGCAATGAGGCGAGGTCACACTCCTCCCACAGCAGAACAAAGCTGTCTCTGTTTGTCCGTTTTCTCCTGATGCTCTTTCTTCTTCCCCTTTCATTCTCTTGCTTTTTGCTGCAACCTGGGCTGATGATGGATCCCTGTTTCATTCAGGCTCACTTAACAGTTTACAGTGCGATGGTAATTGGAAATTAGAGACAGTGAATTGGGTTTGCTGGTGTTTGTGTTTGTGTGTGTATGTGTATGAGATAGAATGTGTGAAAAAGAGACTGACAGATTGGTTGGCAGAGATACTCACTGCTAAATAGAGCATTGTGTACATCGCAAAGGAAGCATGGCCAGAGAAGAAGGATTTCCTAAAAAACAGAGGAGTATTCAGAATCACACAGAGCAAAAGTACAACTCATAGCACAAATACATGAGCACGCACACACACCTGGCCTCCTCCTCTAACTGGTGGTCAGGCTGGTGGCAGTTCACTGTTGCAACATAGGTTCCTGGCGTGCAGTTAAGTGATGCATATGTGACACCGCACACAGACAGGAAGTGCGGTCGCAGCCGGCCCACACTCAGCTTGGCCATATTGGTCAGTGACTGGCAAACACAGCAGCCAAATAGGAAACAGCCAAGCTCCTTGTACAGACAAGACACATACTGGTTCCTGATGAAGGCCTTGGAGCTGACGCCTCGAAAACGCACCCGGTAACACTCCCCAAGGGCGATCTGGAGGTGAACACATGCAGTAACTACCATATTACATTCTCCTCATCCTCCTCATGAGCTGGGACATGGAGTACAGTTAATACTACTGTGACAAAGATGATGAGGATGATAGGTACTCACAGCGAGACCGGTGATGATAATGCCTCCAGTAATGAGTAACTCATCTGGTATGGCCTCCCTGTGCAGGTAGGGGTAGGTGATACTGGGGTCTCCACATATGAAGCCCCTTCTGTAAGGACTCACTGCCTTCAGCTCACACACAAAGAAAGGGATGGAAGCTGCAGGGGTGGAGGAGACAGAGAGAGATGAAAGGAATTAGATGAGGAAAGATAGAATTTGATATCACAGCATCCCCCAGTGGGAGCATCCTGTAGATGTTCCTTCTCTTGTGCCCTTATAACACCCAATGTTTCGTACCAAACTCAAAACAATCCTTGCTATATTTTACTTTGAGGAAACAAACATTTTTTCTACAAAATGAATTTTAACCATGCTAAAGGTTTGGCTCTGCAGATGGCCATGTCAGTCATTTGGGTGCTTAGTGGCTCCACCACTGTGGTCCAGACTGAAATATCTCAATACCTGCCACATAACTTTGCACAGACATTCATGGTCCCTTGAGAAAAAAATCCAAATAATTTTGATGATACCTTGATCTTTCCTGTAGTGCCACCATGAGGTTGACATCTGTGGTGTTGAGTAAACATGAACTTCAGCAAGTTAAGCCTGTGATTGTGGTCATGTTAGCATTTAGCTCAAGTTATTGCTGTGACTAAGAACAGAGCCACTAGCGTGGCTGTTAATTATCATTTACATTCAACAAAAGAAACCACACTGTAGATATCAAAACATAAATGAGAAAAATCTTTGTCCAAATAAAATACATCCATAAAGTGGCAAAATTGTGATTTAGATCTGACAAAAGAAGAGATACGCAACAATTTCAGTTGGTATTAAAAAAGCACTGAGGTTAGATGCCGAGCACTGGTGGCAGATATGACAACCTTGACTCATCCTGTCACACACCAAGAGACACACTAAGTATCCTATCACAGATGGAAGAATAAAATCTAATCTTACAAAGAAAGAGAAGAGGTAATCACAGAATTTCAAGGCTATAATAAAACTGACATCAGGGGATTGAGGAAGGGAGAAAAGGTCAAACAAGGAATAGTTTTACTGGAAGAAAATAGTAGGAACCCAGATTTTTTCTCTGGAGAACCCAACTAGTTAGACAAGCATTAGGAATGTGAGGGTCACAACACCGCTGCACTGGGACCAAAGAGGTCTACAGAAGCAACAGCAAAAAGTCCCCATTTCCTGACTGAACACAGACTGAATCCGCTGAGCCTGGAAATACAAGAGTAAAACAGGCACAAATCAACAGAGAACCAGTGTGGGCACTGCATGTGGGTGTGTGCATTTCTGTGGATGTGGAGAGAAAGGGTTGTTGTTTGTGATTTCAGTTCAGCTCTTTCCTACACAACAAAGAGCGAATGCAGCAGCAGTCCGGTGCCAGAACCAGCCTCACACTGTTTCTGTTTGTCAATTCCCTCTCTCTCTCTCCCTCCACTCTCTCTACTGTGTCTGTGCAGGCATGCAAGACTGAAAAGGAGAGAGACTTCTTGCAGGGCTACCTCCCTTCTGCACAAATCCAATCTGTTTTTAATGCAGACTGCCTCCCAGTCCAGCTTTTTCCAATTAGTGAACATTATATAACTACCCTCCTGTCATGTACAGTATAGGGAACATGGGAGGGAGGGTCAACAATTACAGTCATGGGCCAGCACACGCACACGCTGTGCTCATGGATCGTGCATTTATTTATTTATACCAAATACAATTCCCCCTGGTCCGACTCTACCCTCGGAACTGGAGGTTGTCATGGAAACTGTAGAATTCCCTGGGCAATGCACGAAGCAGCTGGCACGGGGAGCTCGAGAGCGCGCCTGAGCAGAAAAAAGATGGCCAAGGATATGTGTAAATGGAAAGAGTCAGCACTTGAAAAGTTTCTTTCTTTCTCCCTTCCTTTTCCTGTTGTTGTTTTCTTTCTTTGCTTACAAGCCTGGTGTTAATTTGCTGCACACACCTGATGTTTGAACATAGCTAGTGACTGGCATTGCTGATTAAATAAAAAGGGATGGAAGCAAAGCAGAACAGAACTCGGCATAGATGAGGTTAACCCACCAGTGTCTGCTTTAACAGGCAGGAATAGAGGGTTTAACCTGTAGGCTACAATGTTAAAATGAACAGGTTCAATTATTTTATTATTGATTCAGTTACTGAAGTCACTGACAGTTAGCCTGCCAATTGCTCTCAATTAATTCCTTTTTATTTTTAGAATTTTGGGGGGATTGTAAGAAAATAGTAAAAAAATGTCCATCACGATCTCGTGACACCTACAGTGATGGTGTATATGAGACTGCATATTTTGTCACTTGAACATTTGAACGCTAAATAGTGTATATTAAGTTTATCACACAAGACAATGAGAGGCAGCAAATCCTCAGACCTGATCACAAGGTGGAGCCAGAGAATATTTGGCTTGTATGTCCTTAAAAAAATCCCTAATTTGATTATTCAGCATGACCTACTTTGTAAAGGTAAATCATCATAAATAGCCCTTCAGCAAATTATTGCAAGTATTTGCATGGTCTACATAAATGCATACTAACACTGCACGTTGCAACATTGTATTGGTGGACAAAACAACTAAAACCCCTTACAATGTAATGCATTCCAGTGTAAACACCACATGATCTTAGCATAACATTAACACACACCAGATAATTATAAATACTGTCGTATTAATAGCACTGCTATTTTAGTGGAATGCCTGATATTATACAGGTGTTTGCAATGTTCACTTATACTTTATATATTAGTATGACATTGATGTATTGAGCAGCAGTGGCGGAAGAAGTACTTAGATCCATTACTTAAGTAAAAGTAGCAATACAACAGTGTAAAAATACTCTATTACAAGTAAATGTCCAGCATTAAAAATGTGACTTAAGTAAAAGTACAAAAATATTAGCATCAAAACATAAGGTGGGGTGAGGGGTTGGGGGGTGGGGAGGTTAGTTTTAACTAGCCTATATGCATTTAATTTGAATTCCTACTGGGTAGCTTGTGAATTCTCCACCAGAGATCTATAAAGTCTTACGACTGTAATTTTTGTATTGATCTGGTTCTGAAAAGTAACTAGTAACTAAAGTTTTAAAATAAATGTAAGGGGGTAAAAAGCACAATACTTGTCTCTAAAATGTAGTGAAGTTTAAGTATGAAGTAGCACAAAATGAAAACACCTTAGTACAGATACCTCAAAATTGTACTTAGGTACAGTACTTGAGTAAATGTACCTTCCACCACTGTGGAGTGGGCTACTCTATTTGTATTTTTACCCAGGAAGAGGCAGAGGAGGTCTAACCCGACCAGAAGTCTCCTTTTGGATAAAGCAGGTCCAGTCATCTCGATCAGCTTCCTCCCAGTGCCGTTCTCCAGCCCCATCCCTGCTGCTGCTGCGGCCAGGCAGCTTTTGTTATCCGCCAGTTTGAGCTTAAGGTCCGCGCTGGATACAGGCACACAGGCGCTCTGAGCCCCAAATTGATCCAACATGACGACTGGCTTCGGGTCAACAAGTTCTTGGCATCAGAAACTTGGGAGCGCCCGTGAACTACTCGTGTGCAGAGCTGCGGAGAGACTGAGCAAATCCGCAAGTTGCCAGAGTATTTAATATGTTCCCGCAACACGTGTCGTTTAACTGTCAACTCACAGTGGGTTTCATACATATTTTAATTGCATCATCGAAGCTTTAGGACTCGCCCAGACTGGCAGAAAGGTTCCCGTCACCTGGAAGATATGTTCCACGGTGGGGCGCAAAAATCCAGACTGTTGCGAAACATACATGGATAAGATCTCTCTCTCTCTGTCAGTCTCTTTCACTTACTCTCACTCACTCTCTCTCTCTCTGCCAGGAATCTCCTGCTATTATGTAAGTAATTAGTAACAGAACGTAAATGACTCCCACGAATTTAGATGAGAGGAAGTCAAACGCATCACCAAACGTGTCATGTGGGTATTTCACAATGATTCACATTAATTTTTCTGTTCGACTTTAGTCAGATAGAAATTGGATAGATACTTTATGTATTAGAAATGTTTAGTGGAGATAGGATGTCTGACTGTTAAATGCTTAGTCATGCTTATGAGTTTCTACAGGGTACATCTGGTCAAGGATAACTAGAGAGAAGAGTTGATGACTGTCAGCAGACAGGGTGTTTAATATTATTATTATGACGTGTATAACTGTAGCCTTAGCCATAATATGTTCTTATGTTTAAGTCACGACATGTTACTAGAGGTCATGAAAATGTTTTTAGTTACACACCACTTAACCAACAGACAAACACACATTGATTTTCTTCATGTTTTGACTACTGTTATGACCAGCTGAGAGAGACGTCTCGGTTGATGTTTCTGTGTAGTATGGGGCTAGCCCAACCGAGGTGATATAATGTATAGGCCTGGTGGGTTCGGGGTCTTTTTTTCATCTTACATCTGCCTGCGTGCAGGTTGGAGGTGCAAGGGACCTGAGCGTGTAATGTTAATTTTACCTGTGATCCTTTGAATAATCAGCACTGTTTTGAAGTTACTTGGACTGTCTCATCTCTCAGAGTTAGCAATGGTAACAAGAACCAAAGACCAACAGACTTAACAGTCACTTGGGAACATTGCTAGATACTGATGAACATCTGTAAATCTTTCTTTTCCTTCCTTGACACCTTTAAACCAGCTACTAAGTGACTGACAGTCTGGAATCAGACTAAATGTGAACTTCAAATGACTACCATAGTTTCACTGAGGTAACCATCCAGGCTAGTCTTTACAAAGATGTAATAAATGACATCATTTCTCATGATTAATAAAGCTGATGTACTGCCAGTGTTCATCCTTTCTGTTTGGCAATAATGTCGTGAAGACATCAGTTAATACATTCTTAATCAGCTAATGTTTTTGGTCTACATACTGTGACACCGTTAATATCCCTGTTCACAAGTTCAGTTAGTCAAGGGAATTCTTCACAACTTGGCAATTCAAAATAGCTATTGTTAATGGTGTATAACTAATTTAAGGAATTTAAAACATCAGAAAATCACTGATTATCCATAGAAAGAAACAGTGGCAAATACTGATTGATACTAATCTCACGCTTGTAAGGTAACAGGACAGGGGTAAACAGGTGGCTCTCTCTGAAGGTAGCAAATTATGTGTAGGCTACCAGGAGCTCTAAAACTCACTAGTCACCTTACAGTTTACATTGCTTTTTAAAACGATGTAAAAGTGTGAAAATGATGGTCCTAGTTTTTACCCTTAATGTGCCGGACAACTGATTGGATAAAACTAATTCCTAGCGTCTCTGCTGGTTGTTCTATAATTTCACTGTGACAGTAACCAGCCAAGAAATAATAAAACTATTTATTACATAATACAGTATAAATCATTTATAACAAAAGTACTCAGAGGGTAAACAAACTTTCTTTGGACAAAACATATGTTTTTGTTTGGCTGTTTCATTACAATCATTATGTTTCCATTACTTATTATTTTGTGTATTAGTTAGAGCACCTGATTGTCCAGTTACAGTCAGGTTACACTGGGAATGAAACATTAGATCATGAATGAAACAAACCGGAACAAGTAGAACCGTTTTATTTTAAATTATGTATTAAATGCACACACACTATTATTCACATTTAAATATTGTATCATTAGTACTAATATGTGCATAAAGAAGTACAGGGTGTGCCATGGTAAAGTAGCCCATGTACTCGAGAATGTACTGGAGGCGGGCTACTTTTCCGTGGCCCACCCTGTAGTAGGTTACAGTTATCACAACAAAAAGGAGGCATCACAACATCCACAAAGAACAGGAATAAAGTGACACTGACAGATCCTGGGTCTTTCTTTTTTGTCATTTCTGTGTGAAGTCATGGAGCCTTTGTTTGGGTGTAGTGGCTCAAGATTATTGTTTATGTGTTTTCAATAGTTTCCTCAGAGTAAAAGTAGATTTTATGTTTATGTCATACTGCATCTGTAGTTCCTTTATTTACCCAAGTAATGTGTCTATGGAAAGGATCTGTAATTTCACTCTGTGATAAGAGTGGGGAAATCTGTGTTTGCATTTGTTTTGACTGTGAGTTTTCTGCTGTAGGGGGCAGCAGAAGCACTGCTAGGGGGAGGTTTCACTCATCTCGTCTGTGGGTAGTCAACAAATGCATGTGGAGGAAAATTTGGGGGGTGATGACTTTCCAGAGAGAAATCCCAGCACATCACAACAGTTTTACTTTTAGGTTTTTTTTTTCTGTCTTGTCTTGTCAAAATGGCCAGTATGAAATCCTGACTACAAAAAAATCCAAATATGGATTTGTATGTACAAAGATGTGTGTGTGTGTCCACATTTATAACATTAGTTGTTGTAATTGGATGCCTTTAGTAATCCATTCATAACAAATTGGCTTCTGTTCCACTTTCCTGTGGTATGAGAAAGATCAAGTATCATTTAATAAATGATTACATTCCTCCACAAGGCACATTTCAACATGACATTGAGTAATGCTGTATGGTGATAAAAGAGCAGAGACCTGGGAAAAGTCTTCTATCAGCAGGTTGTCAAACTTCATCAGCAGTCCAGTAAGTATGTAAGTTATCAGTAAAGACAAACTAAAACACAAATATCACATAGACATACCAACACAAAATGTTTCAACACTTATCATTTAGCTAAATAAAGTGAAAGCCTGTCCTAACAGTCAGAAGTTTGGTTTGAGTACTGACAAGATTAAACTTGTTAGAACGAATATGGAAACTTGTGATGAATTTACAGTATCTGGGTAGGTTGGTGCATGATGATGTTCTTATGGTTTGTGTACATGTGGTCAGTTTCATTAGGGAACAGAAGACGTGGGTTTTTCACCCTGCAGAAACATGTGACGCTCTCCGAACTATACTTGTCATGCTCGATTTCTCATTTTCTGTAATACCGACTTCCCCATTTGCTTTGCGTCCCCCACAAAAAGAGTCCAATACCCCTACACCCACTCCCTTACCAAAAAAAAAAAAAACAACTCAGCAAAAGGGAAATAACATAAAAGGAACCTCAGGAAAGCTCCAGCCATAAGTGAGAAAGTGACAGACAAAATGAACAGAAACTTGTAAAGTAATCGTGGAATATACATTAAGCTGGAGAATGTGCAGTGCAAGGCAGGAAATCTGGGGAAGCAGGATCAGTGTGACCTGCTGCCACTTTCCTCAGACTCTGTGGTTGGAACTGACATTGATCGATGCAAATATTTTGAACTAGTGTCTGAAAATAAGCATTCAGATAAATGAAGTGAATTAAAAAATACACAATTAACTTTTAAACAAAGGTGGATAGTAACATACATTCCATTTACTCAAGTAATGGACCTAAGTAATACTTTGAATTCACTACTTTTCAGAGAAAAATATTGTATTTTGTACTCACTATATTTATTTGATAGCTTTAGTTAATTTTCAGAATCAGATTAATAAAAAAAAATTATACAGTATAAAGACTTCCTTGGCATAACATTTACAAGCTACCTGGTCCGACACCATCTCCAGTCAATACTTGCTCAAACAGTGCAATCAGGAGAGCACTGAGACTAACATCATGAAAAGGCAGTGGAAATGAAGAAAGGTGACATCACCCGGATTCCTTTCCCTGCTTTTGCTTCGTTCTTTGTTGCACTCTTTCTGCGCTACAGAACGCGGCCTCTTGGGTCTAACAGGTCCGCTCCCATCCTGGGTTGTATCTGAACAGGGAGCCTCCGTGGTCTGTCTTCAAAAGGAGTCATAACGGTTTGAAAAATGTATCTTATAACCTCAGATCAGTGTGGGCATGAAAGAAGTGCAGTTCAGATTTTAACAACAGTGGCCACAGAGGGTTAGAAAAAAATAGAAGGAACTACAATGATTTAACTGATAAATAGGATATACCTGTAATGCTGTATGACATCAGTACCAGTAACTCCATGTACTTAATTACAGTACTTGGGTAACTGTATTCAGTTACTTTCCATCTCTGCTCAAGAGAATACATATAAATGGCAATTTATAGTCATGCATCATTATGATTGTTGGTAATGATACTTAAAGAATCGGGAACTTCCTGTGGTTCTCCAAGGGCACAATCAATGAGTTTCATCATTTAATGTTTTGTTCAGCCAGTTTTTTTTTCATGTCCATACATCATTGTTTTAATTTTACTTTGATTATTTTTTGTTTATGCATTACATCAACAATGGGTAAAAGTCACATATGTTCACATCCTGTTCTGCAGTACCAGTACATTAGACTTCAATGTGATTAGTGATTTCCCACTTTACAACAGCACTGGTTCCTGAAAGTGTTATGTCAACAAGCAGTGCAACAATGATGGTGGGTGGTAGGGTGGTGGGGACATCATCTGCAGAGCAATAATGGGTCTCACTTTCCTTCACATTTGAAATGAGTCCACATAAACAGATAAAAGGTACTGTGTGTACTATTCATGTACTGTTTTGTGAATTTCTAAAGCTATTTCACTCAAAAGCTGTTTACAGAAGTTTCATGATGTCATCATCATTGTGTCAAATTTAACTGTCTCAGCAGTACATATGACCAGTAGACCAAACATATCCTTGAACTTTTGTCACTTCCTGGCTTGTGTCTGTCACAATCACTTCCTTTTTAGCAATAACCCAAAACATTCCCATAACATTACTCTTTTAGCAAACTATGTGAATCAGCTGATCATGTTTTGATCAGTCTGGAGGATTTGAGTGTGATGACCATAAATCACAGTCTAAACTCTCCTGTAGGGAGTCAGAACTTTATGGATCATCACCTGATGCAGGAGGGAAACCACCAGTAATTACACCAGCTGCACTATAACAATGTAATCGATTCCTGAGTTTACTGTATCTTACAATAATAATCACACCAAAAGTACAGTTGCTGCATTAGCTCTGCTCAGAATGAAAAGCATTATAAACTAAAGATGCATGGACACACCTCTGCATTAATTCTAACATCATCGACAGCCATGCTAACAGCTGTATTAAGCCACAGTGGAATTTTTAGCTAAATGCTAATGTTAGCATGTTTGCATGCTAACATATGCTAATTAGCACTCAACACTAAGTAGGCTACTTATGCCATTAATTTAATTAATTAAACATTTAAGCTAATTAATTAAACATTTGAACTGATGAAAATAGATGATAAGGATAATGATTATGCTGATGAAAATGGATTACCAAAAATTTTTAATCTGCAACTGCATGGTGACTACCCATATTTTGTTGTATTTTGTTGTGATTTTCAAAGAACTGCTGCAACACCAGCCTTCACACTTCTATAAGTGGTTTCTATTAGATTTGATCAGGCTCTGTTTAGGCCAGTCAAGTTCATCAGCACCAGACTCAGAAAATAACTTTTTAAGGCCCTTACTTTGTGCACAAGGGCATTTACTGTAAGCAAGGACTTACTTAACCTGACCATTGACAAAAACCTAGGAATGCACTTTTGCCAAAGAGTTTCACTGTATATTGCAGCATTAAGAATTCCCTTGGAACTAAGGGGCCTACTTCAGACCATAAAAAATAGCACCAGTACAAACTGTGAACAAGCCTGTCCGCATACTGTAATCCATATAGTCTACTTTTAAATGTCCCAGTACACCTTTCAAGACTGTACAAATAAAGCAGTTTTGTGTATTTAACATTTCTGTACATAACACCACCATATTCAGTGAAATAATTTTTACATGTTTTGGAAGAAGACCATTTAACTGGGAAGAAAGTGATACACATTACAACATACACAGCTGATAATTGTTCAGACTGTAGACAACTGCACTTCATCATTTGCTGAAACGTGAAATGCTGTTATGTTGCGCAGAAGAAAATAAATGTTGTGGAAAGTGTTGTAGATAAGCCACTAAACCCATAGTCTTGAGTCCCCAGTGTTCAAGTTTGAGTGAAGTCCAAGTCACCAAAGAATTTTCTGAATGGAGTCCCCATTACCCAGGTCAGAGTCATCAAGGTCTAATTAAATATTATTGACACAGCACCCACCATTTTATTTATAAAAGTACTAGAAATAATTACCAATTTTTCAAAAAGACAGATGGAATCCAACATGTTGCTGTCACTTCATGTATATAGTGAAAATACTTGATTGGAATCCGCTCTTCGTGCCTTCTCCTTCTTCTCCTTTCTCTTTTTTGTCTTTTCTGTCACACATTTAAACTGACGCTGGGAATTTCCGGTGCATGCTGCAATCTGATTGGCTGGCAAGGTCCTAAGAAATAAGAAATCACCGTTTTTTTCTTTCTGGATATGTCTATACAGCTCCTCTAGTCCGGAGAAACACACACCCAACATGGGGAATTCCTAAATTATTTTGGCACAATAGTGTCACATTCTTATATGATAACAGAGTAGCACGTGGTGGTGCCAGAAATGTAAACCTGGAGGGCTGACGCTGCGAGTTTTTTTTAGGTTGATACTGAAATATGTAGTCTTGTAAAATGCCTCTCCCTGTCACATCACATTTATGTTCTGCATTAACCTTCCCGGAGTATTTTCCCACTAAGGCAATTTAGGCTCTCATTATCTCCACTGTGCCACTTCCCCCCCTCCCTGTGAGATTCAAAGTGGAGAGGGAAAGGTGTGACTGCGACGGAAGGTAGTGAAGTTGAAGGCAGAAAGTATTCTATTCTCTCCCTTTCGTTTTCCACTGCACTGTGTCTTCGCCCTTGCGCAACTGTAGACAGATCTGCGGAAAGTCTGTGCGTCTGGTTTCTCACCTCCTGTACAAGCTGTAAGGAGGGGGGTGTATGTGAGAAGGCGAGAGGGAAACCCATGACTTCCGCATTTTTCCTCCGTGTCTGAAACTAAAGGCAGTGTACAACAGACTAGGCTATAAAACCAACATGGCTCTAACAAGCACAGCATTCACCTCAAGACTCGGACTGGGCTGTGTGATAACCAGAGGACTATCTTGTGGAGGTAAAGCGTCGAACAACAGGAGCTGTGCAACTTCCAGCGCTTGCAACTCAACATTTGTTTTTCTTCCCGCTGGACCTAAAAAAAATTGGACGGTGCGGACACTTTCTCCTACCGCCGATTGTTAGGACACCAAAATACAGCAATGGATGTTGAGTCTCTTCAGAAAAGCGGCCGCCGACGTGGGAGCTGCCTGGACGTTTTTCTGGTCATGTCCATCATTGTTCTGTTTGTGGCGGTGACAGCTGTGGCTGCTGGCGGAGTGATTGTTGTGATGGACCTGCAGTCCAAATTGATGGACCTGCAGTCCAAAGCGATCAAAGTGGATCACAACCACGATCCTCTTACATCTGACTCAGCATACAAGGTAAACAATTCATCTCAGTTATTGGCATGAAATCTGAATAATTTGCTTTCCCCCCCTATTTTGACCCATGTCCTCTGCACATTTTAATCCATTTCATCTGTCCTCTTTTATTAACAGATGCAGAATGTTGCCTACCTGGAAGCCATTACGAGTAAGTCTATTTCTATTTGCTAAATGCAAACATGTAACATCAGGTCTCCTTAGTGATGTTTAAGGACAGCTTTTGAAGGACACACAGTGGTACAGTTTTCCTTTCCAGTAACACTGTGGTATTTCCAAATAATAAGACATTTAATAATAAGAAGACATTTAATGCATAACTTTAATGACATCAAAGACATTTTATATAGTTCTTAGCTGTGTCTAATCAGGTCAGAGTTGAGACAACACCACAAAGAAATGTAAGTGCATGTTTTTGCATTGTGTACGCATAATCTAAAATAAATGTGATCGTCTCCTCCTGCAGATGGGCTGAATAAGCTGGAGAACTCCACCATGCAATGGGATACAGTCCCCTACGGTGCTGGGCAGTCTGTAGGAACCAACTTCATATTTAAAAAAACCCAGCATACACTGATGCCAAAACAGGCCGGGACCTACTTCATGTACATTAACCTCAACCTCACCTGCATCTTCAGATGCAGGGCAGGCCTCCTCACCGTACATGTGGGCGATAAGCTCACCTGTGAGGTGGAGCTTCCAGATTCGACAAATTCAAAACCTGTGAGCAAGAAATGCTGGACAGTGAGCCGGCTGGATGAGAAGGAGCTGCTCACTCAGATGACAGTACCAAAGGAGGGACTAGAGAACTGGCAACTGAACAGCTCAGAACTGGGGATGTTCCTTGCGGACTAATATGGACACTGCGGTGCTATTACTGTCGTCAAGGTGCAGACGTGTCTGTGACCTGTGGGTTGTAACTACAGAACAACACCAAAGTCCAAGCAGGTGAAAATGGGCAGGTGCCGGTGCCATTTTCAAAGCTATAACAAGGTTTCTTGCAAACTGAAAGAGTAAGATTATGAAGCTTAGTAGGATTTTAATGCGGACTCTCAGGAGAAGTTGCAGTTGTGATAATGCAGGCAGGATATGACAAAGACCAGAGACTCACCTGATTTTGTGTAAATATGTATGTGCTATGTGATGTATTTATTTGGTGATACTGAACTATTTATGTACTTATATTTATAATGGTGTTGAGGTTTTTTTATAGAAACTTATTTTGATGTAGATACCACTACATTAGTGTTGACAGGCAATACACTGTAATTTAATCAGCCTACATAGACTTAAATATGACTTTATAGCTCTGTTTTTATTTTACAAATGTTTGGGGGCAAAAAGTAGTCTTAGAAATCTGTGATTACAAATCTGCTCCAAATCTCCAACAAGCACCTCAGGGACTTGATTTAGGTTTTCTGCCGTCAAGTAGAGTCATTTAAGCTCCTCTCACAAATGATGAGTATGACTATACACTCAAAATAACTTTTGAAGAAACAAGTCTGATAAAACTATCCTACTGTAATCAAATTACTAAAATATATTTCTATGTGCACTGAAAGTGTTTAAGTCCTATGGACAAACTACACACTGTTGAAT